GGCTTCATGGACTGTGTGGCTTTTATTTTGGCTGCTCAGATTTTGTGTATTTCCTGGTCCTCAGCTATATTCTGTATAGATGAAATTTTCAGATAAGGCAGCTTTTGTGAGGCTAGATTACTAAAGTGCAGTTTCTGATAATGTGCATTATATTTTGAACTATCATGCTTTTCAGCAGCTGTAAAATTGTGCTTATAACCCAAGTTTATGACTATTAGTACCAATATGTAACACAATGAAAGCAGGAATTACTGGCAAAGTACACATTATCTTAAGATAAGTTCTTTAGACAATTAAATTTCATATAGTGACGGGCAGGGAAGAAAGAGCATGAAATATGTACGTGCTGAGATGTTGAAGGAAATATGGTTAGTGATCTTGGATACTTTCTCCTTACCACATCTAAGATAACTGTTTAGATTTGAAAATCTTTGCTCTTAAAAATGGAGTAACTTTTTGATATGCCCTCCATATAAAAGGAAAAGGAAACGGAAACAGGAACACCTTAGCATTATAAGATGGCTGGGCAGTGGTGGAAAAGTGTTCATAATCTTAATAACAAAGAAACAAAAAAAATTCTGGATAGGAGAGGCTAGGTCAAAGAAAAATATGTTACTCTGTTGTGAATCACTTTATATCTCTATTTGAAAACTCTGTCAATATTTTCTGTTCAGATACTGTTCTTAAAATGAATGAGATAATGGTCCTTTTAGGGAAATAGTTCCTGGCATAAGATGAGAATTTAAAACTCCAAGTTCTGTCTCAATTACAAAGTCTAAAAAGCACTGGTTGCTATTGAAACTATTTCAGTTTAGAGTAGTGCCAACTATGCAGGTAAAAAAGTTAAGGAGTCCAAGGTGAAGGGCTAGCTAGCCTATTTCAGACTCAAAAAGATAAGCTGCTAGGGAAATGTCTAACTGGGAAAGGACTGTAAGGATTTCCTAACAAATGACTTCAGTGATAGAGAAGCCATCCAATGCAACCCATTCCATTTTCAGACAGTTGTAGTTGTTAGATTATTCCTATTAGAGTCAAAAAATTGACCCTCTCTAATTCCACACGAAAACTCTTCAAGTATGTGCTAAAAGCAGAGCAGCCTATAAGTTTTTCACTTTCCTTTCTGATAAGGTAATCTTGAAAAAGAGAGAAATGATGAGGGGAACAGTTATTCTAGACCTGGTTCTGACCAATTAGGAGGAACTGATTGGTGAAACTGGAAGTCAGTGACCATGTTATCATTAACTTTGTGGGGGAAAAAAAACCAGAAGAGCAACATAGGCATGGTGTCATGTGGAGTTTAGGGGGGCAGATTTCAAAGACTTCAGAGACAGGATTATGAGGACCATAGTTGGAGTCTTTCATTAAACATCTCAAGAGAGATGGGAAGAACCCAAGAAAGAAATTCTGGTGATGAGCTCCCTGTACAGTCACACCTTTAGACAACTCTCCCTTTTCTTCTTCATCAGGATCACCTGCAACTGGGTTAGACAAAATTTCCTTGTTCCCAAATTCCCTAAATCAGCCAGTCCCTCTTTATTGGTCAGAATCAGGGTTTGAACAGGCACGTCTTCCATTTCTTTCTCCACTTTCTGAAAGTAAGCCAAGTGGAGACTTTATCAGATACTCTGATCTTAGCAAATATAGAATAAGAATGGTGTTGGGAAGAAAAACAGAACCAGCTGAGGCTTGTGATAAATAGCAGACATAACAAAAAGTGGAAGGGGTTTTTTAGGTTTCAGGAAGGCATAAGACCCCTGCCTGTGTCAGATGGTAAGATAAGGGACAACAGAGAGAAGACAAAACTACTCAACTCCTATAGTTTGCTTCTATTTTCTTTCCACCAAGGACAATGATCTTCAGAGTAGGAAAGACAGAACAAAAATGGTAAATAGGGAAATGAAATCCCAAATAAATAAGGAGCTAGCAAGAAGGCAATTAGCTTTTTCTCAAATGAGTTCAGGTTCTTCAGGTTAGAAAAATCACATGTAGGGGGACTGAAAACTCACTGATATATGTTTGGCAAACCACTGTCAATGGTCTTTAATCAGCAGTGTCAAATTGGAGAGGTGCTATAGGACATGTTTCAAAAGAGGTCAATGAATTTAGTATATATTCCCAGTAAAACTCCAAAATATTATAGAGATAGTTTATGGGCACTCACAGAAAAGAAGAGGATGGTTGAACCAGCTTCATCAATAAGTCATGCCCAAAAATATTTCATTTCTTTTCTTTTTTTTAAAAATAAGATTAGTATATGAGGCAGAATGATGTGGAGAGGCACAGAGGATAGAATGCTGGACCTGGAGACAGGAAGGTCTGAGTTCAAATCTGGCCTCAGACACTTATTAGATGTGTGATCCTGAGCAAGTCACTTAACCTCTGTCTGTCTCTATTTCTTCATCTATAAAATGGGTATAATAACAGCACCTACCTCCCAGGTTATTGTGCAGATTGAATGAAATAATATTTGTAAAGTGCTTAGCATAGGGTCTGGTGCTTTAAAAAATGCTTGCTATCTATTTATGTATTGATTTCAATAAGGAATCTGACAAGGTCTCTCATACTATCCTTGTGGATAAGATGGAGACATATGGATTGGATGACAGCACAATTAGGTAGGTTTGGAATTGGCTGCCTGACCAGATTCAGAGAAGTGACTAAAGGATCAATATCAACCTAGAAAATGTTCAGTAGAGTAACTGAAGGTTCTGTCCTTGGTCAAATTTTGATCATATTTTTATGACTTGGATGAAAGCATTGGTGATATATCAAATCTGTGGATGAAATGAAGTTGGGAGAGAGAGCTAATGCAATGTTTGGATGTAGGCCACATTCTTCCCCAATCCTCCAAAAAAATATGCCCAAGAAAAAAATGAAACCCATGAATGGCTTATAATCATTATTATTATTATTATTTTTAACTATAATTACATTTGTTTTCTTTTCAAAGAGGCATGTGACTTATATTCAGGTCAACATAGTACATTTGATGACAGAATTAGGATCCAAAAGGAACCAGGTGGACTGAAACTGTAGGTTGAATCTAACAAGATGAAATGTAATAAAGACACATTATGTCTTTTATTTGGGTTTCAAAAAACCAGCTGCATGGGTAATAGACAGGGGAGACAGGGCTAGAAAGAAGGGTTTGAATGGCTTTGAAGTTCAATATGAATCAATATTGTGAGAGGGGAATCAGAAGAAGGCAAAGGGATCTTGGTTGCATTAACACTAGAAGAATGTCAAGTGGGAGGGAGGCAGGGCAGTCTCAATGAAGGCCATCCCAGTTAGCATGTCACTTTGTAAGAGGGACCTGATAGACTGAAAGTATCTAGAAGAGGATGACTAGCATGAAATTGGAACTTCAAACGACGCCTGCCCAAAACAACTGGCTGAAGGAACTAGGGATGTTAAATCTAGAGAAGAAAAAGTTTAATGAGGACATTATCACAGTCTTCGAGTATATAGTGGGTTGTCACAAGGAAAAAGGATTAGACTAGCTTTGCTTTATCTTAAAGGGCAGAAGTTTTAGAAATTGAAAGGAGGTAGATTTTGCTTAAAATGAGAAAAAAGTTTTAGAAATTAAAAGGAGGTACATTTTGCTTAATATGAGAAAAAACTTCTCTAACAACTGTCTGTGTCCCCAAATTGAATGGATGTTCTCAGGGAGTAGGAGGAGGTTCCCCATCACAGGAGATCTTTAAATAGAGGCTGAGTGATCTACCTGTTGTTGAGGATGTTGTACAAAGGATTCCTGTGAGTTAGGGCTACGAACAGATGACCTCTTAATGTCACCCAACTCTGAGACTTTTTTTTTCTTTCTTTTTAGGCAATTGGGGTTAAGTGACTTGCCCAGGGTCACACAGATAGTGTCAAGTGTTTGGTCTGAGGTGGGTTTTGAACTCAGTTCCTCCTGACTTCAGGCCGGTGCTCTATCCACTGCGCCACCCAGCTGCCCTAAACTCTGAGACTTTTGCTAGTAGCTGTTGGATAATAGAAATAACATGATTAAGATGCCAAGCCACTTATACCTTAATAGAGTATTTATTTTCAAAATACTAAATTAAATAATGAAACAAAAAAATAGACATATAAAAACAATGGCTAATGTAGCAATCTCTTCTGTTCAAAATGAAAGAAAAACCCCACACATTTGTAAAGTTAAACACAATTGTATTCAACTAATAAAGCTTAAGGTAATAATTCCAATTCTTCCAAGTGCTTCGATCTTTTTCCTCTCTGGCTTCCTCCTTGGCTCTGGTCTTCAGCCTCACTAGAGTTCACTACAGCTGAAGTTATATTATCAAATTAATCCAGCCGGCTTATCCTTAATTTAACCATTCTGATATCCTATCAGGCAGCTTCATTCAGGAAGGAAGATAATTAAATCATCATCAGTGAGTTAATGAGACTCTCATTAACACTTTGGTCTCTGTAGTGTACAAGAGCATGTAACACTGAGAATGGATGGAGAAATGATTCTCTTTCCCATGAATTTCTATTTACAGGTATGGGTATCTTTGCTAAATGAATGTAACTTAGCTAAGCACACATCTAACTGTTTACCTAAAAGAAGGGTAAAAACTGAGAAAATAGAGAATGATTTTTTTGGGACTGATTGATAACACAACCATTAACAAAATTAGGAATCCCTGATATTATTTTACCCTTATTGCCAGAGCACACCCAGCTCCTTCTCTGTTACATCTGATCAATTCTTACAGAAGCTTTATATAGCCAAAAGTATCTTGTAGGAAATGATTCTGCAAAGAATGACTTTCTAAACTGAAGCAAAGGTTGATATAGAATAATGGAGTAAATCAAAGTTTTGAGAACACAACACTAAGAAGCAAACACAGGACTTTTTTATGAGTGTTGTTGACAACACTCCTCAGCAGGCTGGCTTTTAGAAGTGTTTACTGGGATATAGACTCTTAGAGGGAAAATCCTTTTTGTTTGCACTAACATTTTTCACAAAAAGTCATCGAATACGGACTTACCTGTGTAACTGGATGATGTTTTTCTATAACAACAGAACTCATGGGAGGCAAGACCCCCATTACAGCTAAATTGCTAAAATTTCTACTGGTTTTAATAGGCAAATCAGATCTCCCTGCAATTCGAGCTGTAATTGTTCTTCCTGCCTTCTGCTGAACAGATGTCACAACCTTTGGTCCAAACTAGATGAACAAAGAAGGAAATAACCAATGAGGAAATAATCACCTTGGACAAACAAGTATTTTGTATTTACATATAATACTCAATTCAATTATTACTCTCTTTTCTATGTGGTATTATATCTAATTATAGTTAAAACATTACCTTAAAATGAGTAACAAATTACAAAAAATTTGCCTCACAATTTCATAAGATTATAGCACTATGCAAATTATGAATAAGCCAAATCTTTATTGATAAATGAAAATGAGCTATCTTCAATTGGATACAAGCATATTCTAGCACACAGTAAGGACTTAAAAAAAATTAAAAGCCCAGAAATGAAAATTGTTTAAATATTTTTAACCCTATATTCAAATGATAAGAAGAAACCTTCAAAGGAAAATAAGAAAAAAAAGGAAACCCCCCCCCCAGATTTTCAAATCACTGCTCAAGTTCTGTCACTTAACCCAGACATATATAGCTATTGTTCTCCTCATTCTCCTTTCAACTGAGTGCAACAGAAGAAAATATCTAAATTAGCTGAAATGAAAATTACAGGGAAAATTTTCAATAATTCTGGAGTCAAAATCAGTAGAGATTAGCATGCCACCTACTGTTCAACATGAAACAACTGCACATGGTATTTGCTTGTATAAAATCTGTATTTTGAGAACATATTTTCAACCTAAATACTTTCCCCTTATTTACTTTAATACAATTGCAGCTGTTTCCAAAGAACGAGTGGGATTCCCAGCTGCTGGCCTTGTTTCCATAGTACTAGCAAACTAATACTTGTTTTTTGTCTACTTCTTTCTCTGTTAACAGGCAGTTTTTTCCCCCAGTGAAGCTTCTTGACTACCAGATACACCAATAACCAGGGTATATTTTGGATCAGTAGGAATCTTTTAAAAGTCAGATCAAAATGGAATGGCTTTATAAGAAAGTATCCCTGATTTCAGGAAATGCTTTCGGATTCCTAGCATCAGGGCTCCTGGCATTTGTCCTCTGTGATCCTGTTAGGAGGAATAGTTTCAGCCATGAAATTAATTTTTATAAATATAGCACCTACTATGTGCAAGGTGCTATGGCAAGTGTGACAGTGAGGGTCAAGAGAAATAACTTTTATGTTATAACTTCTATTATAGTTATAAGTGTTTTATACTCTACATATAATTTCTTGAGGGCAAGAAACCACCTTAAGAACCTAAGGGGGACTATACGGCATGTAAATACAGAAATACAATAGGAGGTATAAAATGAAAATGCAAGTTGAGCTGTGCCTGGAAGGATGGGGTACAGATGGGGCTGTTGGGGGGTGGAGGGAGGAATATGAGCAAAGGCCCAGGGACAGACAAGTTTAGGAGGACAGTCAATAGTCTAATTTGACTGAAACACAGCCTCTGTAGTTAACAGCAGTAGGCAGTATTTATTATGTGCCATCATATGCATGTCCTGGACTAGGTAAGGGGATACAATGACAAAAATGAAAATAGTTCCTATCCTCAAGAAGCTTACAGTCTACTGGGAGAAACAGCATGTAAATAGATTACTAAAATACAAAATAAATACAAAATAAAGAAAAAGTAATTTTGGAAGAGGGAAGTGCTAACAACTGGGGAAAAGGCTTCTTGAAAAAGATGACACTTGAAATGAGCCTTGAATAAAGCCAAGAGATGAAGAGAGTGTTCCAGGTCTGTGGGACAACCTATACAAAGCAAAAAAAAAAAAAAAAAAAGGAGATAGGATGCCAAGTATGAGGACTGGCAAGAAAACCAATGTGGCTATAACTTAAGAGGGTGTGAGTTAGAATGATGGGAAATAAGACAGAATGCTCTTGGATTGTGAAGAGTTTTAAAAGCTCAAAAGATGACCCTGTTTTATCCTTGAGACACTAGGGGGCCTCCAAGAATGAGGGAAATGTCAAGTCAGACCTGCAATTCAGGGATATAAATTTGGAAGTTATGTGGAGAATGGACTGGAAAAGGCTGAGACTGAAGTAGGGAGACCAATTAGGATGTTTGTTTTTTTGCTAGGCAATGGGGTTAAGTGACTTGCCCGGGGTCACGAAGCTAGTAAGTGTCAAGTGTCTGAGGCCGCATTTGAACTCAGGTCCTCCTGACTCCAGGGCCAGTGTTCTATCCACTGTGCCACCTACCTGCCCCCAAGACCAATTACGATGTTACTGTAGCAGTAGAGGCGAGAGGCAATGAGGGTAGTAGTTATATGAGTGGATTGAAAGGGAAAGATGCAAGATTTGTGGTAAAGGCAGAATTGGTAAGATTTGGCAACTTATTGGATATGGGGGACAAGGTAGAGGGAATTGTTAAGCACGACTCAAAGGTTTTGAACTTGTGTGACTGGAAGAATGGTGATGCTCTCAATAAAAATAGGAGAGTCAAGAAGTAGGGTGAGTTTTAGGAAGCATATAATGAGTTTTGATTTAGATGTGTTAGGTGTGAGCTGCTTGTGAGACATTCAGGTGAAGAAGTTCAGCACAGAACAGTGCTCATAGGAATAAGGGGACAGCTATTACGGTCTCTCCCAAGTATTCTCTTCTCTAAACTTCTCAGCTCCTGCAACTCATTCTCATCTGGTGTGACCTTGGGGCCCTTCATCATCCTGGCTGCTCTTCTCTAGACACTGTCCAGCTTATCAATGACCTTCTTAAAATGTGGCACCCAGGACAGAACCCAATCCTTTATATTTGGTCCGACCAGGGCTGAGTACGGAAGAAGACTAATACCTTCAAAGTCCTGGACACTACATTTCTCTTAATGTTGCCTAAAGTCACATTAGCTTTCTTGGCAGGCATGTTATACTATTAACTCCTATTGAGCTTGTGATCCACTAAATCCCCCAGATCCTTCTCAGAAGAACTACTATACTTCCCTCATCTTGTTCTCAGGAAGTTGATTTTTTTGGATGCAAGTACAGGATGTTATGTTTATACTTATTATATTTCATCTTATTTCACCCAATGTATGTCTTTTAAGATCTATTTGATTCTTGTTTGTTATTTTTATGTGAGGCAATTGGGGTTGAGTGACTTGCGCAGAGTCACACAGCTAGTGAGTGTTCTGTGTCTGAGGCCGGATTTGAGCTCAGGTCCTCCTGACACCAGGGCCAGTGCTCTAACCACTGCACCACCTAGCTGCTCCGATCTATTTGATTCTAATTCTGCCACCATGTGTGTCAGCTATTTCTCTAGCTTTGTGTCACCTGTAAATTCAAATAAGGCTACTTAAATCACTGATAAAAAAGTTATACACCCAAGCACAGATCCCTGAGACCAGATACCTCCTTCCAAGCTGACACCAAGCCATTAATGACTCCTCTTTGTAGCTGGTAATTCAACCAGTTCCAAATTTGTCCAACTGAACTGCCATCCAGCTCATATCTATCTTGTCCAGCAGAAGCACATGGAAGACTTTATCAGATGTTTTGGTAAAATCTCGGTTAAGGTGTATCTATAGTACTCCCTGGATTTAGCAATCTTGTAACTTTGTCAAAAAAGAAATGAAGTTAGGACCGGTTTTTGATAAAGTCATGATGGCTCTGGGTTGCTGCCTCCCTTTCTGGATAGTCCCTATTTTAAAAAATAACCCATTCTAGAATTACTCAAGAGGTTTGATTAAACTTCACTGATCTATAGTTTGTTTATTCTTTTCTCTTCTCTCTTTTGAAAAGCATGGAATTTGCCCTCCTCCAGTCCCTTAGTACTTTTCCTGTTCTCCATAGTATATTTTAGTCCCTGAGAAAGTTTGTTCTTCCGAGTTAGGTGACTTGAGTTCCATCAAGGACAGCTAGGTAATCACAGATTTAAGAGCAGAAAGGGAACTTAGAAGCCATTTAGTCCAATCCTCTAATTCTACAAATGAGGAAATAGGCTTAAAGGTTAAGTGACTTGCCTAGGGTCACAGCTAAGTAAGTGTAAGAGACAGGATCTGAACCCACTATTGTATCATTGGCCTCTCTTTACTGTCTCCCTATTTATCTTGGGAATCAACACTCTATTAACTATTAAAAAAAAAAATCTGTCCTTTCTAGGCCTAACACCATTTTTCTTGGCATAGGAAAACAGAGGCAAAATTTGGCAGCTTCTCTTTCTCTTTGTTGTCAATCATCACTGGTACATCTAGCCTCAAGCAGTAGTGCTATCTCTTCTTTGATTCTATCCTAATATATGGTTGCACCTCGTTCTGTTCTCTTTAACTCTCCTTGCTAATCTTAGCTTATTTTGAGATCTAGAATTTCTGACACAATTCTTTAAACTTGGCCATATTTTGGCATTTACCCTCTTGTTAGGGGCGGGTCAACCTCGTTATTTTAAGTTGGATGTTGGGACAAAATGAGGCACTCCCAAATCACTGAATACTTAACAAAAGGTTTACTTTGCCCCAACACAGCAGGGTTATTCAGCAAAGATCCTGGACATAGGACCCCCTCCCTTGTCTCCATACGGAAAAGTGTCTGGTTAGCAGGGCAGGGTATGGTGATTTGAGCAATCTTCAGACATATACCAAATCAGAGGGGCCACAACTCCCTCTGGATGGGCCTTTTTATGTCCTTAGGTGAACAGGAAGCAGTATAATAAAGGAAAGCAGGGGCCAATCAAGTCCTAGGGACATCTTTGTTGCCTTTTTGGGGAAATGGAGGAACCCTGGTCTTAAGACACCTCTATTTCTTGTTCATGATTTCACCTTCTTGCATAGTTGTTTAAAACTCAAGTTGGCTAGTGAATTCCCTGTATATCACATGGCTGTCTTTCTTTAGACAACTATTCTTTCTCTATCTCATTAGAGCAATTTTTCTTTTTCTCTCCCCGCCTCCCCTGCCCCAATTTCATTCTTGAAAGCTTCCCATCCCCCTTGAGATGACTTCCCTTGCAAGATTTTAGGACATGGAAGCTTATATATGAACTCTTTGAAAGCTGCTCTCCCAAAATCTACAGTGCATGTAACACTACCCTCAGCTTTTGTCATCTTCTCTATCACAAATTCTAAAAGGGAACATAGCTCCCCTCAAAGGTTCTCATCATTTCTAACCCAGCAACCAGGGCTTCTCCTAGAGCCACATTCTAGTCACGGGCATCACCCCATCAAGTCTCCAGGCAGCAGGTATACTAAAGAAGATAGTTGTGTCTGGCCAGAGTCAGGAAGACCCAGGTCAAGATTGGGCCTCTGACACGTGCCAGCCTCTAACCATGGAGAGTCTTTTAACCTCTCTAAGCTGCAATTCCCTCAGCCGTAAAATGGATTTTTGTTATGAGCCTTAAAACCTTAAATAATTAGTTGTTTCTATTACTTAGGAGGTCAAATTTACTTGTCAGTCATATTTTCTGAATCTTGAGGCCACAGATTTTATCACTGGATCCTCTCTCGGATTTTTGTTTTCTTTGGCTTCCTAGATGTCATAATTACTATTCTTCTTCTGACACCGTCAGTAGTATCTAGCTTGGTGGATTGAGGCAGTTTTCTTGCTCCCCCTTCCTTTTTCAGTTTAAGGCCCTTTTGACTATATTCAAAAGATTACAGGCAAATAAACTTTTGTTTCATGCATGCACTTAATTTCTGGCTTGGAGGCTGTCATTCTTATATTTAAGCTCTAGTCTAGAAATCTTTATTTTATTTTCAGATTACACTTTAGCACAGTGGTTTCACTTTATGATTTAAGTGAATTAAATTTGAATAAAACAGAATTTTCTTTTTGTATGTGCATGTTTGCACAAAAGTGTTCCTATTTTGAGGTTGGGAAGTTGGCCAAAGTTTTGTTGTTGTTACTAATGATTTACTTATGTTGAATTATTCATTTACTAGGGGTGGGGAACCTTAGACCTCCTACGTCATGGCCCCTGTCATACATAGTCAAAAGTGCATAGAAAACAGATAAACAGACAAGGGGGCAGCTAGGTGGTACAGTGGATGGAGCACTGGCCCTGGAGTCAGGAGGACCTGAGTTCAAATACGGTCTCAGACCACTCACTGAAACTTACTAGCCTTTCTCAAACCTCTAATTGTTCATGCTTTGCTTAGAACATAGTACATGTTTGTTGAATAGCACTAATCTATTGTGGGAAAGTGGCACCACCTTGTGGCCAACCTCAGAAATTTGTTCAAGTCTTTTTCCTACCATCTCTAGTACCATGCCCTCTCCTCCTTATCATTCACAGATTTATCTAAGCAATCTTTTTCCTATGTATTGACATATCCATCTTAATCCCACTTCAAGAGAACTTAGAATTCTTGTCCAGTTCACCTAGGAAAACCTCTTTGATTTCTTCATTAGATTCTCTATGCGAGCCAAAACCCAATCTATAAATGTGGCTAAAAAGCATAAAGGTAGAGCCAGTCACTACAAATCTAGCAAAGAAAAGGAAAGTTATAAAAAGCTTAAGTGAAAAGAGACTGTAAAAATATCAACCCTAGCTACTTTTGAGTTCTTTTCATAATCCTTTTTCTTTTCCTTAACCACCAACATTCTAGAAAAAACAAAAATCTTTATCTTAAGCACTTTTCTTACTTTCCATTCAGCTTTTTTTTTTTTTTTTGGCTAGGCAATGGGGTTTAGTGACTTGCCCAGGGTCACACAGCTAGCAAGTGTCAAGTGTTTGGTCTGAGGCTGGATTTGGACTCAGGTCCTCCTGACTTCAGGGCTGGTGCTCTATCCACTGCGACACCTAGCTGCCTATTTCTATTCAGTTTAACAACTAGTATTGTAAGAATACCATTTTTTTACCTATATATTTTTTGTTGTTCTAACAACAAAGTGCTTTACCATCTGTTGTGAACAGATCATATTTTTAGCCATATAATGAACGGACTGATCAAGGCTTATGTGGGTTTGCCTGGAACTCAACTACCAATAACCACTTATGACACTACTTCTATGGGAAGGTGTATTCTGAGTCTGTCTCCTTTTCCAGTCTCCCTAAAGAAACAAAATACCACAATAACAAAAAATTTACCCAAAACCTAACGTTAAGAATTGATTTGTTCATAAGTTAGGGACTCCCTAAAATTGTACTAACCATCTCTTCTGATGATGATTGTGCCGGTGCTGGCGTTGGTGCTGGTGCTGGTGCTGGTGCTGGTGGTGGTACTGAGAGAAGTGAGGGATCAAAAAGAATAGAACCATCTTTCCCTGAGCCACTGGGACCATTGTCATCTTTCCTATTTGCGTTCTCTATGCCTAAAAAAAATCAAACACGAACATTATTAAAACACTTCACCATTCTTTGATTGTCATGTTGCTCAACAGTAACGCAGATATAGTACGGCTAAAATCACAACATGCCTAAGAATTATGTTAATTAAAAGAGTTAGTTGAGAGACAAAACAGGGAAAAACAAACAAACAAACAGCCAGAACTATTCCAAATACCTAAGGAGCTGATACCATAAAATCTGGCTGAACCCAGGATGACAGAATTCTTGATCATATGCTAGATTAATATGCTACATGAATATGGTTGCTATCAAAATACCGGGCTAAAGATAATATCAGTTATTATTCAGACTTCAGTTTCCTTTCTCTGTTTAATAGATCTAAACGTCCTGTTTTCATTTATTAAATAAAAAACAAAAAAAATTACGTACTCTACTTGGCTGGTTTTAGAGTTGAAAGTATGAAATCCGGTTTTCTTCTTGTCTTGTCATCATATGCCAATGACTTTTGGTACCATATTAAAGTGCTAAAAGTATCAAATATCTGAAAACCTATGGCAGTACTCCCTTGTATTTTTACCCTTTTCATTTGGATACTAATATTTACAGCTGCAAGGAACTCTAGAGATCAGCTAGTACAACTTCCTCTCTTCTTAGGTGAGGAAGTTGGGACCTTGAGGGGTTAGGTACTTGCTATAAGGAGAAAGTGGCAAAGATGGGACTCAATTTAGGTCTCCCAACAAAGATGGGACTCAATTTAGGTCTCCCAACTCCAAACCCAGGTCTCCTTCCACTTTGAAAAATACCTCCTCTAGCATTCAGGAAAATGTATCTATGTTCATTTTCCATCATTCTTTTTTAACTATTTAACTACAACAATAACAAAAGTATTTCCTTTACTAGATAATTTTGTCCTTCATTTGGAAAAAAAAATGTAAAACCCCAAGTAACAAAAACACTACTTTTTTCACTATTTTTGTGTTACCTTTTTCTATAAGTTCAATACTTTTTTTTTTTTTGGTGAGGCAATCAGGGTTAAGTGACTTGCCCAGGGTCACACAGCTGGTAAGTCTCAAGTGTTTGAGGCCACATTTCAACTCAAGTCCTCCTGACTTCCAAGGTTGGAGCTCTACCCACTGCGCCACCTAGCTGCCCCACTAAGTTCAATGCTATTAAAAGAGCTTAGCACACACTTTATTGTCTTCTCCACTCACTTTCACTGTAAAATAAGGCAAACTCTGCAATATTTTTGCAGCTTAAAAATACTTCTATAGAAAAATTTCTGTTGTTAATTTAAGAAGACGCTGATATTTAATTTATTATGGTAACCTCATTCCATTTGACAGTTGTATCCCTTTAAAGCTAGAGCTTGAGTTTTATTTTTTATTTTTCCCACGAAAGGTTAACAACATGTTATACTCCTTTCTTTGGGTAAACAAATAGAAGATGCTGAAAGATCAGGTCTGGTTCTGAGGAACCTAGAACTAGAGGTGGATGAACATATCATTAATGTGTGCTATCTGAGATGTGCTCCATATGAGATGGAAATGTACAGTTCTGCCTTCTCAAATTCTTTGTTTTGTCATTCATCCTGGTTTTAGCCATGAGTTCAATTATTTTTCAGTTAAAACATATATTCCAGGTACATATGAAAAAACAAATTACTCTAAAACATGAGTTATAGTTAATAATTTTAAATTTGTATAACTTCAATTTTCAAGTCATTTCACAATAAACTCAGATTTCCAAGTTTATGATATATAAGACCTCTTATGTTTATGATGTATTTGACCATGTAATCTTAATATGTAGAAAGCAAAGAATCAAGGCAATCCAAACTAAATATCTGAACAGAAAATTTAATATTGTATTAGGATAAGAAGTGCTATAATTTTATCAGCTCATATTCTCATTTAGTGAGGTATAGTTTTTTTTTTTTTTTGGTAAATGACACAAAATTTAGGACACATTATTAATGATGGGCAACTTTCTAAGACTATAAGGACAACTGTTGTTGGGTTTCCTCACTAGGTATTCCCAGTGCTGACTAAATCACAAGTCTGTACAAAACACACACACACACACAATGCGTTGTCAAATACCTTATAGATAATTCAACCTCTTTCTTTTTTTTAAAACTTTTAAATTTAATTTTTTTTTGTATATTTTTATTTTTAGGCAATTGGGGTTAAGTGACTTGCCCAGGGTCACACAGCTAGTAAGTGTCAAGTGTTTGGTCTGAGGCCAGATTTGAACTCAGGTCCTGCTGACTTCAGAGCTGGTGCTTTATCCACTGCACCACCTAGCTGCCCCTCAACCTCTTTCTTACATGGGGATATAGAGACAAGGGGAAGTTAACAAAGTTGGGGTAGAGCTGGACCTAGAACCTGAGTCTCAACTCTTATGCCAGTGGCTTCTTCCCTCATATCATCAACTTGCCATTAAAAATTTTAAACCTGTCACTCAATAACAACATATTTATATTTTACAAATTGCATAAATGTAACCACTTCAATATGAAGAATTTTTAATATCATTATTTTTTCTACATTTTTTTCCCACCATCATCTTACAAATATGGAAATTGAAGGCACAGAGAAGCTACTTGCTCGGTTGAAATTACACATAAGTTCTTAGAAGGACTGGTACATTTCTAGGCTAAGCCCTGACATTAAAACAAGGTCAATGTAAAAGCTTAATTGAACCTGCAAGTAACATGAAAGGCTGACTTGGGAGGCAGCTCAAACAGCAGATAGTGCCCTGGGGCTTGGGGTCAGCAGGACTGAGTTCAAGTTCTAAACTGAAGACCCAATAGATAGGTTGTCCCTAGGTTATTCTATCACTCTGGGCCTCAGTTTCCTCATCTATAAAATGAGGATAACAATGCTTGAACTACCTGACTCACATAATTATTAAGAAAAAAGCATTTTGTAAAACCTTCAAGAGCTATAATAAATGTATGATGATAATGACGATGATACTACAGTAAACATTATGGAACAATAATAATTACTACTATCTTGAACATTTCAACAACTGATATTAAGTGCCTACTGTGTGAAAGGCACTGTGCCAGACACTAGGCATTACAGGACTTTTTGAAGGATACAGTCCCTATTCTTGAAATGCTTGCATTCTGTGGGTGATAAAGTAGAGAGATGCAAGGGTGCACATAGGTATATGTAGAGAGGGAATGAAGGATCAAAATTGGGTATTGTAGGAAAATTTACAAAGGAAGAGAACACATCTGAGTTGGAGGTATTAGAGGAGGCTTTATGGAAGAGGTAGAATTGGAGATTAAGCCTTGAAGGAAGAGAACACTTCTGAAAGATAGGAATGAGCAAGTACACTCCAGGCACAGGAATTGCTTGTTCATCTGTACAGAGGCAGGAGACGATGGGTCAAGTTTGGAAATCAATAGTAGCCTAGTTTGGCTGCAAAAGTGAGTGTGGGAAGAGGGGGAATGTAAAATATGGCTAGAAAGGGAGTCTGGAGTCAGAGGGGCTCACATGCCATGCCAAGCAGTCTATATTCTATGCTAAAGGAAATAGGAGCAACTGGAGGTTTTTGAACAGGAAAAGTGCTATGGTCAGACCAATGCTGCAGAAAGCTCAGGTTGGTAGCGGTGGGAAAGATGGATGAGAAGAAAGACTAGATAGGGAGCCTAGTTAGGAGGCTATACCAACAGTCTAGGTGAGGGACAACTGGGACCTGAAAGGGATTGGTGGATGTGTGAATGAAGAGATGTGCCTCGTCTCAGAGATCACTCCCAATTTATCCTGGATATACTGTACCTTGTTTGTACCTAGTGGTTTGTATGCTGTCTCCCTCACTAGACTGTAAGCTCCTTGAAAGCACAGACTGGGGTTTTTTGCTTTTGCCTGCTCTTTGTTCACAGCTTAGCATAACACCCAGCACATAGTAGATGCTTAATAAATGCTAACTGATTGATTAACATTTGGGACAGATGCTAGAGAAGTAGAATTGATGGGTCTTGACAATTGATTGTCTTTGGGAAGTGAGGGAAGGAGAAGAGTTCAAGATGACCCTTAGGCTTGAAATCTGAGTAACTGGGAGGCTGGTGGTGTTGCAGAAGACAACGGAGAACAGACTATCCAGGAAAAAGGTGGTAAGCCAGTGTTAAAAGAAACAAGGAAGGGGCAGGTAGGTGGCACAGTGGATACAGCTCCGACCCTGAATTCAAATCCCACCTCAGACCAAATACTTGACACTTACTAGCTGTGTGACCCTGGGCAAGTCACTTAATCCCAATAGCATCAAAGAGGTTGAATGGCAAACTGTGAAAGAAGATTTGGTTGAGGGATGGGGTCAGAAACAAGACTGCAAAGATTTAAGACCAGAGTAAACGTAAAAAGGCAGCAGAGAGTTTAATCTACTCCTAGGAACTTTAGCAGTAAAAGGGAGGAGAAATCTAGGATGATAGTTTGAGGCGATGGCACTGTTGACTTAAAGTAGATTTAAGACCCTAACTGCCTCACCAAAAAAAAAAAGTATATTTAAGAATGGGGAAGATGATTATTTATTTCTATAGGCAGAGAGGAAAATGCCAAGAGACAAGGAATAATTAGTAGAATGGTCTTATGAAGGGGACAGGAAGGGACATGATCAAAGGAACACATAGAAGGGCTGGCTTTTGAAAGGAGAATGAACACCTTACCAGAGCTCTGAGAAGGAAACAAAGAAGGAGAGAATGGATGAAGATGTAAGGAGATTCTGTGACGAAGGCCCGGTCAGACTTCATCTGGAGTACTGTGTCCAGTTCTAGGTGCTATGTTTTAGAAAAGACATTAATAAGCTGGAGAATGTGCAGCAGAGGACAACTAGAATGGTGAAAGGCTTGGAGATACGAGTCACAGATGGGGACATGAGGTTGTTTAAGCTGGAGAAGACTTAGGAGGAAGTGATACCTGCCTTCAAGTACTTGAAAAGCTTTTATATGGAAAAGAGATTAAACTTATTCTATGTGGCCCTTATAGCACAGAATTAGGATGAACAGGGGGAAGTGGCAAAGAGGGAAATTTAGGATTGATTCAGGAAAAACTTCCTAACAATTAGAGCTACTGAAAAGTAGAATGGGATGCTTTGTGAGGCTAGGGATTCTTCTTTACTGGAGATCTTCAAGTAAAAGCTTGAAGGGTACAACGTAGAGGGGATTCTTGCTCCTATATGGACCGAAATAGATGACTTTGAAATTCCATTTCAACTCTGAGATTCTATGATATAGTGAGATGAGGAGCTTCTAACAGATGGCTTGATCCACCTGGAACAGTTTGGTAGATTCAGAACTGGTTGAATGACCAAAGAAGAGTCATTAATGGCACCCTATTAACTTGTAGAGGTCTCCAGGGACGTGCTATAACAGGGATCCCAAGGGATCAGTTGGTGGCCATGTGCTATGTAACACTGTTGTCAGGGACATGGATAAATGCACAGATGGCAATCTAATCCCACTTGCTGAAGATGCAAAGCTAGGAGTGATAGCTAGTGCACTCAATGGAGAGTTAGGATTCAAAAAAGACTAAAGGCTAAAACGATAGCCTAAAGAAAATTTAAAGATATAAATATAAATTAGTCCTATACTTAGGTTAAAAAAACAACTAAAGCTACACAAGTGCAAGACAGAGAAATGATAGCTGTCTTTAATCATTTGGAGGGCTATTTCATGGAGAAGGAACTAGCTTGTTCTGATTGTCCCAAGGCAGCAAATGGGTGGAAGTTGCAGTTAGGTTCAATGTGAGAAAAAACTTGCCAACAATTACGACTGCCCCAAAATGGAACTGCCTGTCTCTGAAGGTTCACCCTCACTAGAGCTCTTCAAGGAAAGGCTAGATAATCACTGGTTGGGATGTTGCAGACAAGGGAAGCAACAGGACATAAATAAGAATTGCCAGGAAATTAGAAATTTGTAGAGGATGAAGTCGGCATGGTTTTTAAAAAAATTTCTCCCAGCAGTATTAAGTGGCTCAGGAGTAGGAAGGGGGAAGGCAGATGGTGGGGGTGACTTTAGCTTGAGGATTAGCAGGGGTTGAATGTGGAAGGACAAAGGGATAAAGGATTCAGGGATAGAAAGTAGTGCTTGTTAATAAACAGACTAACCAGTGTATCCAGACTGAAGGAAGGAAAGTCAGGCCAGAACAGGGGTAGACAGACTGTGAGAACAAGGAGGGATTGAGACACTGGATGAAAGGAAGGTTTGACAAGAGTGAGGCAATGAAAGCAGCGGGAGGACAGGAGATGGTGGTAAGAGCTACCTATTGTCTTTAGGGTGGTAGCCTGGCATTTAAAATCTTCAAAATCTGGCTCTAACTTATCCTTCTAGCTTTTATATTACTCTTCTTAATCACTCAACAATCCAACCAAAATGGCATACAAGGTACTGCTCAATTTTGGCATTCTACATAGGGTCTTTGTGCATTATTTTTCCATTTGACAGAAAACAGGCAGAGATAGTAAATTAAGGTCATAAAACAAGTTAGCAGCAGACCCAGGACTAGAAATTAGGTCTTCTGGCTATAGTTGTATGTTTTTTCACATTATATCACAATGACAATGCCTAAATAGCTAATATACATTACTGGACAAATAGTTGTTGAATATTTCTTTGAAATAACTATTGACTACAGAGAAGTCTACTGCCATAATTTTTACATTTGTCTGGAATGGCAACTCAGTTGGGGAAGCTCCTAAAAGCAGAATGGATAGGCAATTAGATTTCAAAATTGGAAATCCACTTGTGTGAGGAAATATTTGACTAGTAAAATAGGGTAAGGAATTTAGCCAGTTTAGTATGAATGTAGACATTTCCAGGGCTGGAGAGCATGGGAAGTATTTCAATGTTCACCGAAATTATTGACAACAGTAATATCAATGTTAAAAACAAAATATAAAACATATTATCTGCACTGCTGCACCTTCTACAGAGCTTAAATAATTGAGAATTGATTATAACTTGATTTGTCAGACATAATAACATGGAATATTGGAATCCATCACAGAGCTAAAAATCCATGTTGACTGAAAATTGGCTATATTAAATCCTTTTCAACAAGCATTTATTAAATGCTTATTATGAATTCCCAACCTTGGACCCAGCTGTCTTCAGTGGTGGTTACTTCAGCTGCCCATTACATCTAGATCTGCCTTCAGCTACTCTTTACCTCCTGGTCTACTCCCAACAGATGCCATGCTGGGGTAGTATTATGGAACTATAATAAGGAACTATAAGATTAACTCTTCTCATTATTCTTGGAAAGGGTTTGGCAATCACTCACCAGCCCTGTAACTTTTCAAACAAAAATATCCCTCCCCAGTCACTACTCCTCTAAAAGTTTTCTATCCCTATCAGAATGTAAGCTCCTTGAGGGCAGGAAAATTATTTTATTGGTGTTTATTTTTTTTTATTTGTATAACCAGTACTTAGCACAGTGCTTGACCTGAAATATGTACTTAATACAGTCATTTGTGGTAGTTATGTTTTATATAAAGTTACTGCAAACACCAAATTAGTGAATACTGAACCTTTGCTCCTAGGTGAAATGCAGGGGTAGATTTCTGTGAACCTCTAAATACATTTACTTTAGAACTTTCCAGAGTGGTCTCACATACAGATTAGCAAATTTCTTCTTCCTTTTTCTGGATGTATCATATTGCTGATTCATAAACATTGAACTTACAGCCAATAACTCATGCCTGAATGAAGCTTATCTAACATATGTATTTTCTCCATAAGGTACATCACAGTATTCTTGTACTTACGAACACTAGACAGCACTTCAGTACTCCACTTGGAGGCTATTTTAAACAGTGAAATCACCAAAAACAAACAGAAAAATGCAAAAAAACCCAAAAAACAAACCCCTAACAGAACAAGAAAAGGACACTTACTTACAGTATGACAGCTAAAGCAAGAAGGCACTACTTTGTTTGACCTCCCACTGCGTGCGTTGGGCAACACAATTTTTTTGGCTGCTTTGTACATGTCCTCAAAAGCACCACTGAGTATTGATTGTGGGGTTACAAATAAATTTTAGCAAGGTGAACTCACAAATACAAAATCCTCAAATAATGAGGCCTAAATGTAAATGCTTTTTCATATATACACGCATATATTCATTCATTATGTACAAAGGTATCATACTAAGTGTTCATATCACAAAGAACATACAAGGCAGTATTTGCCCTCATGAAACTTACATTCTATACCAGTATGAAGTCAGATAACACTGTTTTGGCAAGAGACAGAAGAGCAATAAAATGGAATTTTAACATTTATTTGCCATACTAACCGCTGTCACTTCTGCCCTGAAATATACTCATGGCTTCTAGATTTAATGCACACACGCCACGCATGAATGCTTTTTTCATGGACTCTTCAAACTGTTCTTTTTCACACTGGAGTTTTTGGATCTCAGTCCTTGCAGCTTCCAAAGTAGCATTTAACTAAAATAGAAAAAGGAATGATAAAGATTTTAGACACAGGAAAAAATGATTTAGCTGTTCTATAGAAATGACTTTCCATTTGTACATCTGTTTTCACAGGTAATCCTAAATGAATTATCTCTTCTCTTGGTGTTCCTGATTCATTTAAAAGAGGAAATATAAAAAAAAAAAATACCATGTGCCTCTATTTCTGATGTGTCCATTAGCATACCCTTTTGGTCCTTAACCATAAGGTGAAAGCTGGAACTTGAGGGAGTTTGAAGTAGAAACCAAAAACCTGTTGACTTTAACTATGCAGAAATAGATGCCCTCACTCATTTCGGAAAGCTTTCAAAGGACACTCAACAATGATATTAAGAGTGATATAAAGCTACGTTAAGTTTCACTGTTTCTTATTCTTCCCTGCCTAGTCTGCTCCACTGATATTTTTTTAAAAAACCAATACCAGATAGTTTTGATGACTGCTGCTTTATAATATAGTTTGAGGTCTAGAAGTATTATTTCCCCCTTTGTCTCTACCTCTTCTCATCATTTCTCTTGATATTCTAGTTTTGTTTTTCCAAATGGATTCTGTTACTATTTTCTCAAGTTCTACAAAGTATCCCTTTGATTGGCATAGCATTAAGAGCAGAAATTAACACGGGTAATATTGTTACTTTTCATATATTGCTATGGTCCAAGCACAAGCACTGAATTTTCTTTCAGTTATTTAGGTTGTTTTTTGTTTCTTTTCTTTTCTTTTCGTTTTGTTTTGTTTTGTTTTTAGGCAATTGGCGTTAAGTGACTTGCCCAGGGTCATACAGCTAGTAAGTGTCAAGTGTTTAGTCTGAGGCCGGATTTGCACTCAGGTCCTCCCGATTTCAGGGCCGGCGCTCTATCCACTGCACCACCTAGCTGCCCCAGGTAGTCCTCTTAAAGGGGAGGCTAGACGAGCACTTGTTGTTGGGTTCAGCTCTGGGCTGGACTTGAGGGCCTCTGAAGTACCTTCCAACTCTGAGAATCTACAAAATTATTTTTCCTTCAAATAAATATGTTCCTTATTTCATTGTAAAACCAACTTTTTTATTCTACGGAAACAATACAATTGTATCATGAAAAATAATTGCAAAAAATTGCATTTTAAAAAATATTCAACTTCTTAAGGTACACATTCTGTTAATTAATAAGAAATTTATCTGTACTTTCATTTTTGTTAACATCCATGTACATTTTGAAGGGTAACTTCAAAGTGTGCATGCCATAAGTTCAAATCATCTCAAGAGGACGCAGGCTCCATAAGAATTTCTCTCACAGTGCTTAACACAAGTTCACTATAGTGGGTACTTAAGAATAAATGAATGATTTGTATTTTTAATGTTGAAAAAATGAATGATAAAAAAAAGGAAATTTATATATAAAAGAGTAAAATTTTAGAGGCTCAACTTAAAGATAATTAAGAAATCTGATTCTCTGGACTATTATTTGGAGTATCCTGCTTTCAAAAGTACGATTCAAATTCACAGTATTACAAGTGGTGCTTCTTGAAGTCAGCTACTCTGCTTATTTTCTTTTTATCATACAAAGGTAAAGAGCTTAATTGGAAAAGTACTTACTGCTGCAATTTGAGCTTCATAATCACGGGAAATCTGGAGACAAATTTCTTCAGCTCTGGATTGACAAGCTTTTTCAACCGTATCTTTCCACTGTGATTTCAGAATGGAACGCCAGGCCTTCCAGATTTTCTTCTTTAAAGTTTTGTGGTAGTGCTGGTCAGCTAGCTTAGTTTCATAAATCTTAATAAAAATAATACCAAAAGGGAAAAGAATCTCAAAGTCCATACATAATATGTGTGAAAAGTGGAATATTGCTTTATGAATCTATATTAAAAATAATAAATAACACTTCTTCAGTACTTCACTGATGGTTTTTATCAGTGTGGGTATACTTGCCATCTATGTATACTGTAACACGTGTTCGATAAGCTCTTTGAAAGTTGCTGTGATGAAAAAAATTCATCACCTTGTGTCCAACTTAGTGATAAATATCTCAGCTAGCTAGGCCCAACCTCATATGACAACTCTACCACCAAGGCTCATGTCTGAAGCTCTGCTAAATTGGTAGAACCTGCAAGAATCTGTGCTCTGGTGGCACAGCCTCTGAGAACCCAGAGTTACCCTCTTGCCATGATAAAGCATTGATCGAGCACTTTAAATAAGGAAAAACAAGTAATATAATCTAACATGAAGAGTTTACAAAGCTCTTCCCTCATAAACAGCCTGTGAGGGACACAGTAAAAGTATTATCACACCCATTTTATAGTAAAGGACACTGAGGATTGGAGACGTTAAGGCACTTGCTCTTAGTCACACAAATAATAAGTGATAGCATTGGAATATGAAGACAAATTGCCTGATTCCCAATCCAGTGGGTGTTCTTTCCACTTATACCATGTTAAGGGATTGGGGGGGGGAGAAGGGAGACAAACAACCCACAAATCTATTTACCTCACTTGCCATCTCAGCATCACACTTGCCTGATACTTCTTAAAAATGAAAATGATATCAAAGGAATAGTAGAGAATGAGTCTGGAGAGAAAAGCTAGTAGCAATAGGTTTATAATCAATCAGTCAGTAAGTATTTATGAAGCACCTACTGGTGCCAAACACTCTGCTAGGTGCTAGGGAAACAGTAAAAAAGTCTTTGCCCTCAAGGAGTGTATCACGGGAGACAACATATACCCTCTAAGAATGTACAAAATGAGCATAAATGCAAGATAATGTGGCAGGAGAAAGACATTATTGGCATCTGGAAGGATCAGGAAAGGATTTATCTAGTGGGTAATGCTCGAGCTTTGATGGGAACTAGGGATTCTAAGAGATAGAGGTAGGGAGAGAGGACATTCCAGGCACAGGGGACAGCCTGGTGAAAGGAACAGAGGTGGGGGAGGAAGTGCTGTGTGCGAGAAACAGCAGGGAGGCCAGCTTGGCTGGATACTAGATGCATGAAAGGGAGTGAAATTTAATAAGGCTTGTAAGGCACATTGCAGTCAGGTGTCCCACTTTCAGTAAGTCAGGCTGTGAAGGGCTTTAAATGGCAAATAGAGGAGTATTTATTTGTCTCTTGAGGTAACAGGAAGCCCCTGGAGTTTACCAAGTAGTACAATGACATGGCCAGATCTATTCTTTAGGTGAATCACTGTGGCAGTTGGCTGGAGGATGTATTGGAGAGGGGAGAGATTTAAGACAGGTATACAATTAAGATGTCATAGTGAAAACCCAGGTAGGAGGTATTAAGGCTTGAACTAGGCTGGAGGCCTTGCAAGTAGAGATAAAGGGGCAACTAATCAGATATGTGACGAAAGTGAGGAATTGAGGATGACCAAGGATGTGAACCTGAGTTACTAGAAAAATGGTGTTGACTTCAACAGGGCAGAGAAGTCTGGAAGAGAGGTAGATTAGGGGAGAAAAATGGTGAGTTTTGTTTTGGACATGTTGAGTTTGAGAGACCTCTAGGATATCTAGTATGAATTAATGAATTCACCTCTACTCAGTGTGACAATCAATATAGGCAACATCAATTTGCCCAGGTGGTATCATTAGCACCAAAGTGAACAAACAGAAATGAATGATATTTTCCCTCTCATCATCATATTTACCATCTTTTGAATAAAGGCACCTGTAATTTCATTGGTGGAGGGAATTTCAAAGAGGAAGCTAGTTCTACTAATGCAGTTCAAAATCTGTTCTGCAACTTAGAGGCTTAGAGTTGCCTAGGGCACTGGGAGTTTAATGACCTCTCAAGGTCACAAAACTAGATTAAGTATCAAAAAACATGATCATTATTAACATACCCTCTGGTAGCAAGTGATATCCCAACACCTTGAGGCATTGCATTTAAGAGGAATTCCTTTCAATATATGACAAAAGCATCTATGAGGAATGAGGCATGCAAATGTCTTCTAAATGAGATCACATAAATTCAGTAACTCAGTTTTTGTCACAGTTATCAAATAAAAACCTGTGACTTCAACAAAAGCATCTATAAATCACTCTACCACCTTCTAGATACAGACATTTATTGTACTGAATTTTTATACATACCTCCTGTTTGGCCTTGAGATGTTCAATCCGCCAGTGGAAGAATGTTTTCAATAAATCTATTCTATCCTTTTGCTTGCCTGTTGCTTCAGTCAAGGTAGCAATTACCTACAAAAACAATGGACATACCATCATGTTAACAATTTGTACTAAAACAATTTTTATATGAGTAATAAAGGAATCAGATTATATGATGCTTATGCTGGACAATTTTGTATTACTATCATGCTCAACCATACTTTCATTTCAACACTATTTGAAAAATCCTTGATTTTACTTTCCTACTCAAGCAACTCCGGTGGTTTCTTATTACTTCCAGGATTAAAATATTAATTCCTCTGTTAAGCTTTTAAAGGCCTAAACAACCTGGCCCCAACCTATCTTCCCACTGAACACTATTCTTCCTCCTAAACTCTAAGATGCAGCCAGACTGGCCTCTCTCTCTCTTTGTCCTGATATACCTTGCTCCTGCTTCTTTGCCTGTGCCCTGGCTGTCTCACCTCTATCCCTCTGATTTGGTTCCTTTCTGCCTCTGCTTCTCAGTTTCTCTTCCTTCAAGATGGAGCTCATACTTCTTCAAAAAGCTTTTCTTAATCTCAACTGCTAAGGTCCTCCCCTGAAATTACCTGGAATTTAACTACTTTGTAGATGTTTGTATTTATTTACATTTATTATGCTTGTTTCATACGTACTTGTCTCCCTCATTGGAATTGGAAGCTCTATGTGAATAGGAATTTTTACTCTTTGTACTTGTTCCCCCAGTACCTAGCATAGTAACTGGTACACAGGAGGTGCTTAATAAATAGCTGACTGATTGATCTGCTTGTGTTTTGGAATTTTAGCCTTTTTCCCTTAAGTTCTCATCATTCCCTTTCTACCCCATTTGTTGGTAGCTACACCTCCAGGGCTGGACTTCCTCAACCCCCTCTCAAATTGGGTAATTTATGTCACCCGCTTTGGTCACTACGCTCAGTAGCCCAGACTGGGGAGTGTGTGAGTGAGTGAGTGAGTGAGTGAGTGAGTGTGTGTGTGTGTGTGTGTGTGTCTAGATGTGTAAGGTCTCTGTAGCCTGACAGGATCTCAGTGTAGGCTCCAGCATAAACCCACAGGCTGGATTGTGCTTGTTTCTGTGTGTTTGCCCTAAGCATGGAGAATGGGGGGTAGTGGGGTAAATGGGTGCTGAGCTTAAGGATCAGTGTTCTCTGATGTTAACACAGAAAAATTTTTACCTTAGGTAGGGAATATTGCTTCACCAGTAGGTTTTATCTAATGTTTTATTTTGTAATGGGAAGAGGATTCAATGGGGGCAGGGGGTAGGTGGAGAGAGGAGGGGCTGAGGGGGAAGAAGGAGAATGTATATGGAATTAATATCAAAGAAAAAAATTCAAAAGACATCAATTTTAAAAATGGAAAAAAAGAGCTGCATGTAGATAAGTTACTTGTGAATTGAATATATAAGTTCTTATTCTTTAATATATAGTATGCTTTGGGGAATACACAGTGGAGAGGTATAACAAAAGGAATCTGAGGAATGTGAGAAGTACCATACCAGAAACATTGGGAGACATGCGTTACTCCAATTTCTGGAACTGATATCCTGTGAAACTGACATAGAAGGACATTCTTCTCTGTCCTCAGAGGCTGGGTACTCTTCTGCTCGAACTCACTGGGGATTCTGAGCTCCTTCTATAATCAAAACTGGCAGGGAATGAGAAAACTCTATCATTCCCCGCATACCCCTGGGCTCAGGAGGCAAAGCAGTAGCAAGTTAGAGGCTTTCTGATAAAAGCCTCCGTGTTATTGTTGTTTGTTGTTCAGTCATTTTCAGTCGTGCCTGACTCTGTGACCCCGTTTGGGGTTTTCCTGGCAAAGATCCTGGAGTGGTTTGCCATTTTCTTCTCTAGCACATTTTACAGATGAGGAAACTGGGGCAAACAAGGTGAAGTGACTTGCCCTGGGTCACACAGCTAGTTAGTGTCTGAGGCCGGATTTGAACTCAGGAAGATGAGTTTTCCTAACTCCAGGACCAGCACTCTATCCACTTCACTGCCCCGCTGCCCTGGTGCTGTCATATTTCACCAAATTCTAGTGCCAGCGAAGAACCCAGTAACAGTTACTTGTTGACTGCATGGAGCCAGTGGCAAGGGTTCTACAGTATACATCATAACAGTACATGTGAAAAATCTTGCAAATAGATATGTATTTCTCTTGGATTTTGGAGACATTTTTCTTTTCTATACCTTAAATGATCAAAAATAGTTTCTAGATTTTGAATGGCTCTGAAATTCAAAATTAAGAAAATAAAGGAAAAATTACCTCATCTTTTCTCCCAGCGGAAGTTTCATAAGTTTTCTGTAGCTCATTCAAGTCATCTACTTGGCTTTGCATTCTTCTTATTTGTACTGCATGCTTGTCCTTCTCTTTTTTCACTTCTGCTCTATGCCAGTCAATAAAATTAAATTTCCATTTACTTAGTTCAGCAAGAACATTTGTCTGAGGAACAAGAAAATTGACAATTGGGATATATAAGTATTTAGCATTTCTTAAACTATTTTAGCACAGTCCATCTATTGCCAACTGATAGCTCTAAAAAAACATATTGAACACAGATCTAATCCAACATATTATTGTGGTTCAAGACTAGAGCTGGAGGTTAAAAAAAAACAAAAAACTCAGTCTTCTAATGGAAACACTGAAGTCTGGCATTTTTATCAATCATTATTTTTCCAAAACATAATATGAATAGGTAAAACCTACTAAATTACCAATGGCCATGATAAAGAAATTAACTTATTCTACTCCAAATATTGCACACGAAACCTTTTCCCCTTAAATTTTAATGACTCTCTGTTCACCGAGTGGGTTTATTTGACTATTCACAGAAAACACCCATACTAAATGCAGAAAAAATGGAGTATGAAGAATTAAATTGTCAATTTATTCAAATATTTACTGAACATATCATATGCATAACAGTATTCTGTTACATGCTACAGGGTGGTGGGTATACAACCACCCATAAGCTTATAATCCAGAAGAGGCGATAAGCTACGTCTGATAAACTACAGTATAAGAAAATGTGTAATAAATCACATAGGGGAAGTTTGGATAATATATGGTATGAGAAGCTCAGGAGAGATCTCTTTTGGCTGGGGTTATCAAAGAAGGTATCAATGGAGTTGGGTATGATTTTGACAGGCAGGTTGGGGTCTGGACATTTCAAATGGTTGAAATGGCATCAATTAGGTAGCAAGGGAGACAAGGATGAGTCATGTGAGATATAGCCAGTTGAAGTTACTGGTTGTATCTAGGGATGTAGTGGAATTAGAAATAATGATGATTATTTCTAGACTGTATGACTCCAAAGAATAACAAATAAAAATATGCCAGAACTTACAGGGACTATAGTTTCTCCATGCACATAACTACTTAGCCTTAGTTATGTCTTTGGTGGTTCAGATATATTGCTTGAAAATTTTTTAAAAATCATTTTCCAATTGTGAATTTATACAAACACATACATATATTATTCACACACATATAATTTTTTTTTTAGTTTTAATCAATTTATTTTTAGTTTTCAACATTCACTTCTGCTCACATCCCCAGGATGGCGTGCAATCTGATACAGGCTCTACATACACATTCCTATTAAACATATTTTCACATTACTCATGTGGTAAAGAAAAATTAGAACCAATAGGAGGGACCACAAGAAAGAAGAAACAAAACAAAACAGAAGAGAAAAAAAGAGCAAATAGTATGCTTCCATCTGAATTCCAACTCCATAGTTCTTTCTCTGGATGTGGATAGCATTTTCCATCATGAGACTTTTGGAGATGTCTTAGATCCTTGCATTGCTGAGAAGTGCTAAGTCTATCAAAGTTAGTTATTGCACAATGTACACACATATTATCATCAAAAATGCAAAGTCTGGGAAAAGTCATGCTTCCAGCATTTTTCCCACTTAAGTATTAATTTGTTCTTCTGAACACTATAGACAGACATCCTATGTCATGATGACAGCAGAGTCCATCACAGTATATTAATTTTACTAGATTTGTCAGTTTACTATAGACTGCTTTTTTTTTTCATAAGAACTAGAAATTAAGAGGATGTCTAAAACCTTACTTTGATGTAGGAGCTATTTCCATTTAGTCAGAAAGAAGATACCTGGATTTAAATCCTACTTCAGAGGTTTATTAGCTTTATGGTCCCAGGAAAGTTACTTGCCCTATCTGAGCTTTTTAATGAGTTTCCTCATCTATAAAATGAAGGGGTTGAACCCAATGGCCCCTAAGTTCTCTTCAGGCTCTCAAAAACTATTGATCTTATGATCTTTAATAATGCCTAGAGGCCCAAAATAACAAATATTGCAATGAAAAGCAATCTTTTTTTTTTAATGACATGCCCTCCCTAAATTAGTACATGTGTAATCTCTGTGCTATTGGAATAAAGAATGAGAACCTGAACTGGCCTCAATGCCACCCTTGATCTGCTATGGCCAAAGTCAGACAGTAATGTACTGTGTTTTAAAGGTTCGGTAGGGTACCCAAAGAAGTCACATACAAAGCTTCCAGGTACTCTGAAATTCAGGAAATATATTAGGACAGCCTAGAAACCATCTGAGGAAGTTAAATCAGTCTATCTAAAAGGTGAAACACAAAACCAAATAACCTTAAATTCTTGATGAAACAGAATGATGAACAACAAATCAGTTAGATTATATTTTCTACAAATACCATACCTTAAGACCCGAACTCCAGAAATCAATTATGCTTTCTATCTTTCGAAGGTTTTCATCAGTAACACATGGTTCACTAAAAAATCTCTCAGAAGATTCTTTTTCCCTGGGACTAGAAGCTCCTGGTGAGGAAGAGTCATTTAAATGATTTGGGCTGAAAAAGTCCATGATTGGATGAGTGATCCTCTTTGGTGGTGACAATGATGGTAAAACTACAAATACAAACAGAAATTCTTTATCAGTCAAGCAATGTTAAAAACACCCCAACTCAGTATTGACTTACATTGAGAAGTCAGTTATAGGATGCCATCCTACTATGAGAGAAAAACAGATGAAAAAAAGCACACATTCTCTCTCCCTCTCCCCTAACTATAGGCATACTTAACTTGGCCATTTTTTCCTTTTGTTGTCAATTGCAAGAACTAGAAATAGATTGATCTTGCAGACCTTGGAAATGATCAATTCCGTCCTTCTATCCCAACAATGTTTAGTGAAATTTAGGACTGGTTATGGCTCCTGGAGTCCTAATGAGTTCTTGGTAGGATTTCTCCTCTTCAGCCTCTTCCATAGATGCTGGTTCATAAGTTACTTTATCTTCATGGTAGCTCTTTTGCTGAATGTTCATCAGTTACATAGAAGAATTACTAACAATTGACATTTCTTGTTCAAACTCTGACAAATCCTTAATTTGCATCTGCAAGAAAAGCCTGTGAGCCATCAATCCATTCAGCTGCTACTTTCTTTAGTATCCAGATTAAATTTTTAGGGAGAACATAAAAATCAATAAAATTCTGTTTCCCCAGGAGTAATTTACACCCACTTGGTAACTAGACCAGGAGCTCCCATTTAGAAAGCTAATGACTAAATTAATGTTTAGATAGATGTTCTAAAAACTGTGACAGTGCCTTCTGGTGCCATCATTGCAAAATGGAAAGGATCGAGTGCCCTTTTGTAGTTTTTTCTGTTTTACTGGTTGTCATGGCCCAAGAATTCATCACCTGACAACCAGGAAACTGGTAATAGCTAGCCTTTGGAAAATAATCAAAGCCTGTGAATGGAAATGAATTTTACTTCTAATTTATCTTAAATTAGTAGAAGTTCCTGACCCTTTAGCTTTATGTTTTGTTCCTAAACCTTCAAGGCCAGATCAAGGATGAGCTTTTGCTGATTATCATGCTAGACATTATGCCTTTTCCATAAATAATCAATCCAATAAACATTAAGTGTATACTTTTCCTAAGACACTGTGGTAGGCTCTGAGGATACAAACACAAAAAGGAAAAATAATCATTGCCCTCAAATGCACTACTACTGAAGATTCACTGCTGCCTGTCCTATACAAACATGGCAGCTAACAAGACATGCAGCCTCATTACTAGAATCCTGACAGCAAGATCAGGGTCAATCACACTCCAGTGACTTTCTCCATCATCTTGGCACTTAGCCCCCTGTGCAACAGCCTTAAGTAAACCCTCCTTGGAAACAGAAATTATATACTGGGGTCTGCTTCCACTTTTTAGTGGCATGATAATAACACTTTCCACATAAACTAAACACATAACACATAAAACATCTATAGAGCATTTGCTGTTAAATGTTGGGCAAAAGAGCAAGAGAGAATGTCTATCTTTCTCTTGAAACAAGACAACCAAGCTACTCATAATATTTTCAGGCTTACATATCTTCCATATATTAGAAATGTGATTTTAATCTCATAAAATTTTAATTTCTACTTAATCACTCAACAGGTTAAGCGATTCATTAAATACCCCTATTGTATAGTTAAATAGTGTGTATTGTTGATGGCATAAAAAATCCCAAATAAAAAATTTTTAATCATCAGACTCCAATGGTCAGAGAAAAGGAGATCAAGCTATTTCTCTCCACCATGAAATACCACACAGCTGATTTAAGGCTTCGGTATCCAGAAATCAAGGGGGAATAACAGGTAATAAGTACATTTTGAAAAATATTTTAAAATTTATTTTCTATTAGATTTTTAACCAAAATTAAAATTTGTATTTTCTATGGGGGAAAATGTGCATAAAATCCTACTCTGATTCCTCATTGTGACAAAGAGATACTCTTAGGTTCCTGAAGGCTATACCAGGAAGACATAAGCTTTGGCATCTTCTATCAAGATTACAAGGTTTTAAATACAATCCCAGCGATAAAGTAAGTCTGCTACTATCTCAGAACCAAGCAGTTATGTTTATTGCCACTAGGTGGGCTTCTACGGGATTTAGTTCTTTGGTTACAGCAACCTATGAAAGAAAAATTAAATGTATCTCTTAGATCCATGTGGTCCCCTTCAGCAGGGATTTGTGGTTGGGTGTTGGAAAGTGGGGCAGGGAGTGCTGATAATCACACTTTTTTTTTTAGCTCATTTACAATGTCAGCTGTTGGTGCTCTAAATCTTATCTGGTCAACTTAATTGGCATCATTAAAAGAAGTGAATCACATCAATACCAATATTTTCACAATAAAAGAAAAGAGAAACTAAGTTGAACTGCTTTTTCTCCTGTAAGGGATTCATGTCTTCTTATCCTGTGTGATTCTTGTCCACGTTCTTCAAAAGAACCTCCAAAGAGGATCTGAAAATTTGTGTCTTCCTCAAAGTCCTCCCATTTCATGAGTTACTAGTGCAACATTTTGCCAATCCACCTGTTATCTCACACTTGGAACTATACTAGTGGCCTGTCTACCTTTCCAATCACACATTTTCTGGATGATATCTCCTATGCTACTTCTTGTGTGTTATTCACAACTGGAAATAAGATGAAGCCTACTTGTTCTTATACTACATCTTTCCACTAGCCTTTGGGTCACCTCCAATTTTGATTTTTTTGCCTTTTGATGCTTCAAGATACACAAATATACCACATCAGCAAGAGAACATTAGGGTTAAAAAAAATGAGTTTTTGTTTTAGAGAACAGTTTGGGTTCATTGTGGGAGTGAGGATGACAAAAATGCCAACATAATCTTAACCTGCACCATTAAATGATCATGAGAAACAATAACCTTCTTGTATTCTATGCTGTGCCTAGAACACTACATGCATTTGTGTTGCCACATGCTAAGAGGGACATAGACAAAAGTGGAGTATAATCAGAGAAGTCTCTCTTACAGGTCCATATCCTTCTGTATATGCTTCTGGGATCCAAGGCAACTCCTAGATTATAAACTTTACCTTTATTCTTTGGACTCCAGAGACCAGCCTACCTGTTCTTGTTCTCACCTGCTAACATCTGTTCTTCCACTGGGCTTTTTCTCCTTTCTGACTCACTCTTTTTTTTTTAATATATATTTTTTTCTGACTCACTCTTGAATGGAATGGATTTTCACAGTTTTTGCTTTGATTTCCTATTCTTGAAACACACACACACACATACACACACACTTTTTTTTTCTCCCAAATTTAGGAAGATTTTACAACTAGTAACTATAGGAAAATAAACAAGGGTAAAAACAACAAACATTTGCTGTAGGACCATGACTCTTCTAACTCAATTCAACAGTCTACCATCTTTGTAAGGTTCTGTGCTAGACACTCGGAAAAGGCAAAATGACACAGTTTTTGCCCTCAAGGAGCTTACATTCTATTTGAGGCTATATCAAGTACAATGGTATGTAAATAGAGAGTAATCTGAGAAGGGGGAGAGGAATAACACCACTGTTCTTGTCTTGAGAAAAGCCATCTTAGATATATTAGCCACATCTGACAGAATGACCAAGATGTTAGGGAATCTGGAACCCATATCATATGAGGAAGAGTTGACAATTAGAAGATCTAGGGATGTTTAGCTTAAAAAAGAGAGAACCGTACTAGCTGTCATCAAATATTTGGAAGGCTGTCACAATGTAATTTGTTTTGTACTGATCCATAGGGCAGAACTAGGACAACTGAATACAGGTATATCCCATTTTATTGTGCTTTGAAGATATTGCATTTTTTACAAATTGAAGGCTTGTGGTAACTCTGCATTGAGTAAGTTTATCATTTTATTATCTGTGAGTAAGTTACCATTTTTCTAACAGCATGTGCTCAAATTGTGTCTCTGTGTCACATTTTGGTAATTTTCACAATATTTCAAACTTTTCCATTATTATTATTATATCAATGATATTTAATTGTGATTATTTTGGGGTTCTATAAACCACACCCATAGAAGATGGTGAACTTAATTGATAAATGATGTGTGTACTGACTGCTTCACCAACTGACTGGCTTCATCTCTCTCCCTCTCCTTGGGCCTACCTTTTCCCTCAGACACAACAATATTGAAATTAGGTCATTTAATAACCCTACAATAACCTTTAAATGTTCAAATGAAAGGAAGAGTAAATTGATGGTGCAAACTTCATTGTTTTATTTTAAGAAGTTGCCACAGTCACCTCAGCCTTCAGCAACCACCACCCCAGTCAGTCAGCAGCCATCAACATTAAGGCAAGATGCTCCACGAGCAAAAAGATTACAACCCCCTGAAGGTTCAGATGATGCTTAGCACTTTTTAGCAATAAAGTATTTTTTAAATAAGGTATGCACATTTTTTTAGACATAATACTATTGCACATTTAATAGACTACATCATAGTTTAAACATAACTTTTATATGTTATATGTACTGGGAAGCCAAAAAATTAATGTGACTCACTTTATTGCAATATCTGCTTTATTGTGGTGGTCTGGAACTGAACCCGAAATATCTGAGGTATGCCTGCAGGAATTAGGTGAGGCAGATTTCAATTCAACATAAGGAAGAAATTTCTGATGATTAGAGTTTGTTAACAATGAAATAAGCTACCTTCTGAAGAAAAGCATTCCCTTTCATCAGAAATGTTCAAAGAAAATGCTGAATAGTCACAATCTTTTCTCAGAGTAATATTAATTTCCATATTGGATTGGATTTTGACGAGAAGGCTTCCTTTCAAATGCTGATTCTATGGTTCTAAGTGATTTACACAAGGTCACAGTGACAGAGCTGCCCCACTCCTGACTGAGAATACCCCAGTGTTCTTTCTATTATACCACATATGACACTTAACTCTTAATTGAGGGTAGTCCATACCCTCCATATATAATGTTTATAAAACCTTAAAAATCTTAAAAATGAGTTCTGAGGAGGCTGGGGGAGGAAGGAATGAGATACTATAATATTTTAGAAGGTAGAATTTTAATGTTTCATTAGCTTTTGATTTCTGTTAATTAAAAACTATTCCCAACGACCAAATTTTGTAACAACCAAAATTTTATTTTAGTATCTAGCCTCCTCGACTTTACCCTTAAGAAAATCAAGATGCCATGTGACATTGCTTCACTTATTAGTCATCTTATAATAACATTTTAAATATGAAAACTATAATTGAAATAAGCTGGCAACAGACATTTCAAAATGCTACCACTCAATATTAAGTACTCTAAGCAATGCTAAATCCAAAAGTAGGTGCATAAACTACTTATCAGAATACTTCTGATAAAAAAATCGTTAGACTACATGAAATAATACATAGTGAAATAAGCAGAACTAGAAGAACAATATGTACAATGACCATAACGATGTAAATTAAAAAAAAACAACACAAAAAAGTCAGATTAAAAGAAATGACCAATATTGTTTCCAGAGAATTAACTGATGATGAAATAGACCTTCCTCTTGTTAGTAGGAGAAATTGGGGGAACCAGGGGTGTGGAATGTTGTAAAGATTATAAGGGTTATTGTGTTGATTCATTTGCTTTGCCATTTTTCTCTGTGATATGAGAGGATTCCCTGTTGGAGGATTGGGATATAGAATGAGGACAGGGGAGGAAGAGAATATGTAGTAAAGAAAAAATCCAACTATCTTGAAATAACCATACCTTCTGCTTTTGAAGTACTTGGATTATTGATTTCTATGATTCTCCCAGGTTCATTTCTCTGTTCTCTTCCTACAGGGCCCTTTCCTGCAGTAAAGGAGGATAAACGTGATGCATATACAACTGGATCTTAATGATGAATCCCCTGAAGTAGAAGCATGCATTCAAATCTACACTATTTGAAGTTATAATTATGTAAAATACAATTGGTTTTAGCTCCCTGCAAATATGCAGTGGGAATCTGAATACTTTGTTCACACTAAATGGGAACCAACTTTACACATCCTTGAATAAAATGCTCATACTATAAAATAATTTAATAGTCATTGAAATAAAAAAAATTTATATACTAAGGCAGCTCACTAAGCAAAACACACTGGGAACACAGAGATATTTTAAGCTCAGCATCAAGGCAGAAAGCAAGTAATAACTGATAACTTTTGGGCCATTCATTGGGAATTCAAATAAAATGAGATAATAATTTAGAGCTTGAAGGGGTCTTAGAGGTCATCCACTGCCACCTTTTCATTTTAGAGAAAAGGAGACTAAGGTCCTCAGTGGAAGCGACTTGCTCAAGGTCACAGAGGCAATTTTATCCCAGGTCTGGTGACTTCAAATCCAGTATTCTTTCCATTATACCACAATATCTCTTGTCATACCAATTAATTAGTAATCAAAATATTCTTGACTGGGGAAAAAAAAAGAATTGTGATATATTCCCTTACCAGAGAACCCGGAATAATGGAATGTTTAAGCTAAAAGGAGCCTTAAAGACATCGAGACCAAGCACAACTTTGGACAGGTAAGAGAGAGGAAGTCCAAAGAGATGGAGTCACCTGGTTTTGGTGGCACAGCTAGCAGTGGCTAAAGGGTACTCTATTTTATGCTTCATTGAAATTGAAAATAAGGCCCAACTTCTAAAAAAAAGTTACTTACTAGAAACTATATTTAATTTTACTATATATTATTTTATTTTTTTCTACATAATAGTAGTATTTTGGAATTGGAAGGGATTTCAGAGGCCTCAGATTCCTACCTATTCTTGAACAAGAAATCTCCTCTACAACATCCCTGCCCTAGGATTACTCAGGCGAGTAGAGAGAGACTCACTACTTAGTCACTATACTTCTTTGTTTTTTTTTTTTTAATCATTACACTTCTAAGCCAACTCTAATTGTTTTTCTTTACACTGAGCCTAAATCTGCCTCTGAAACTTCCACCCATCTCGAGTGCCAGACTTCCAAAATTAAGCAGAGTGAGTTCAGCCTTTGTGTTCTGGCTTGCAAAAATAATTTTAGATCCCAATTCTGTCATATGATATATTAACTATCCCTCCATGGTTTGTTTCATTTGCAGATTTGATAGTATGATATCATCTAAGCCTTTATCTAAGTTTCTGATGAAAATTCTGAATATCATGGCAAGCATGCCATTAGACACTCACTTCCAAGATAACATCAAATAACTAATGATTATTCTTTGGCTCTGATCATTCAATCAGTTCCAGATCCATCTTGCTATATGTAAGCAGCCTAATACATCAGAAAGTGTACCAAAAAGGGGAGTCACAGAAACTGAGTTTAAATCCCAGCTATGCCACTTATTAACTTGGGGAAGTAACTTAACCTCGCTAGGGTTCAATTTCCTCATCTATAAAATGACAGCATTGCACTAGATAAGTTTGTGAGTGCCTTGTAGTTCTAGATCTGAGTTAGGGGTTTTTATTTAGAAGTTATTATTGGAAGTTCATTTGATGTTAAATCTTTAAGAGGTAGTATGGTGTGAAGGATCAGGCAATGGACTTGAGGCTGGGAAGGCCTGGGGCCTATGGTAACCCTGGGCATGTCAAGAACCTCTCTTAGTCTTACACTTCCTTATCTGTAAAATGAGGGGGTTTGACCAGATGACCCTCTAAGGTTCCTTCCAGTTCTAAATCCATAGTCCAATGATAATACAATCTAGTCTGCACCTCTCCCTTTTGTCCATATGGATAGCAAGAAAGACTTTGTTAAATGGCTTGCTGAAATTCAGATATGCTACAATATTTTCCAAATCTACCAATTTAGCAAAAAAGACTGACAAAAAAAGATCAAGATCACCGTGAGAACACTAAACCTGATGAAGCTGGCCCCATGACACTATCCTTTCTAAATGTTCTCAAAACATCTCTTTAATAATATATTATGAAACTCTGCCAGGAATTGAAGTCAGGTTCACGAGTCTATAGTTTGCAGATTTCACCCTCTTCTCTTTTTGGGAAAATAGGAGCATTCGACCTTCTCCATGATTCTTCTGACCACTGAGCTGACAACAGCTCAGTAATCACATCTCTTAGTACTCTGAGTACCCAAACAATGTAGTTTGGCTCAGTTTGGACACTTAGGATCGGTTAAGTGTTCTCTACCCCCACCAATGAAACCACAAAAACTTATTATTAGTAAATGGGAAAATAATGCTAAAATTTTTACTTGTATTTATATGTACATCAACACTATTTGCACACGACATGTGTCATTGGTGTATGTATATCTTCCACCTAAGTAGATGTAATTTCATGCCTTCTGATCCCTTGTAATTCTTATTTATGTCTTCCCATAAACCCCTAATTTGTCAGTCTTCTATCTATCCAACATAACTTGTGGCTTTCTATTGCTTCTTCTTCTTTTTTTTTGAGGCAATTGGGGTAAAGTGAGTTGCCCATGGTCACAGAGCTAGTAACTATCAAGTGTCTGAGGCCACATTTGAACTCAGGTCCTTCTGACTCCAAGGCTAGAGTTCTATCCACTGTGCCACCTAGCTGCCCCTCTATTGCTTCTTAAAAACAAACAAACAAACCAAAAAAGCCACATGCATTTATATCCTATTCCTTTCACCATTTATTCACTTTGAATAAAATACTTCTATCTTCATTTAACTTCCAATACCTATCTCTGTTCTGTATCAGCCATATTGGTTATGATCCAAAACAGGTCATCCCTTACATCCATACCCAAATCACTGAAAAAGTTTTAGTATCTAGAATATTTAGACTTGGGGACCATAATTCCTATGGTCAACCTGATCTTTTTGGCGTGGCCACTTTGGCTATAGGGCATAGTTATGGTGTGCCCACTATTGTTGTTTGTCCTTCATTCTTTTCTTTTCTTTTCTTTTTTTTTTTAAGTGAAGCAATTGGGGTTTAGTGACTTGCCCAGGGTCACACAGCTAGTAAGTGTCAAGTGTTTGGTTTGAGGCCGGATTTGAACTCAGGTCCTCCTGACTTCAGGGCCGGTGCTCTATCCACTGCGCCACCTAGCTGCCCCATAATTAAACAATCTTTATATTATAATACTACTACAAAGGTCAAGGAGGAAATATTAAAGTACTTACGGGTGATGAGTATGTAAAGTATTGGACTACAATTACATTACCAATATCGACTCTGCTGCTTAACTCACTGTTTTGCAAATATATATATACACATACATATACATATATATAGATAGTTTTAATACTTTTTCAGCAATTTAAGTCATTACCATCATCATTATAAGAAAGTATTTATCAAATACCTACTAAACACATGGAAAGGTGATATACTCTCTGTATAAGCAAAGTTAGCTCCTAACCTGCTCACAGAAGAAAATTTTCATTACGAGTACACATTTTAAAAATAAAATAAAGTTGTGGATTGGTTATATCAGGACCCTCACCCCAAGACCATTCCTCTTTTTACTCTTCTCTTTTTTTACTATTAGGAGACACCTTGATTTCCTGAGCTAAGGCCAGCAAGCAAGCTGTGCCCTGAGTGTGGCATAACAACAATCCTTTGCACTAAACTTCTGGATGAACTCTATTGCAGCCAAATCGAAGAACTGGCTCAAACCACCCCCAGGTTGTTCCTAAGCTCAGATAAGCACCCATAGGAAACACGTTCCAGTCATGAAGCCCTGCTACGAATAAGACTTTTTGTCACTAGGCAAACCCGCCTCATTGTTGCTGTTACACTTTACTGCCTGGTTCTTTGGCTAGCTACAACTACGTGTATCAAGGCTTAGCCTCACTGCCATGGGTCTCATCAGTCTTAGAAGATACCCTAGCACATGTGTTTAGTTTCCCACCTCCAACAGAATAAAGAAGGCTTTTTGCCTATAACTTCTGTGAGCTATTTGGCTTTATTTTATTTTTCAGAATTAACAGTTGGCGTATGACCTCTGTGGCTTTTTGGTCAGAGTTGACAGTTGGTAACCTCTGTGGCTCTTTGGTCATTTATTTTTAGAGTTTGACAGTTAAGAATCTAATTTCATATTTTTAAAATAAATACTCAATGATAAATTAGTTAAGTAAGTATTGTTCATGTGTGGTAGTCTTTTAAATTAACGGTGTGCTCTCTCACCTGAAGTGTGTGGCTCTTCAGCCACTGCACTCAATATCTTGTCATCTGTTCCCCCTAATGACTTAGGATATGACTGCTTTGAGGTAATTGCATCACTCTTTGGTGTCACCACAGCATATCGAAGCAGCTCTTCATATTCACTCTACAAGAAAGCAGTCACAAATAACATTAAGATATGATTGTGATTTAAACATTTGTTTTTAGAGAAAAGAGTCTTCTACCTCAATATGTTAAAATGACATTTATGATAAGATTTTTCATTAATCATCAGGGCTATATCATAGTAAATAAATTTCCTTTGTAGAAAAACAAATTTTATCTATAAAACCACCCTAACTTTCCTATGAAACAGAGTCCTGCATTTCTGAACACTTATATCATGCCAATTTAATGACGGTGCAACCTAGACATTGTCCAAGAGTGCTCTATATAGAAGTGACTTATCTACAACTTGTCAACTGCTGTGGCTGTCATTACAACACAGAAAGGGAATGAATCCACTTGTGTTCCATACTGCCGTGAGTGAAGCCAAGTTGTCCTCTCTTTTTAAAGAAATTTTTTAAAAATTTATTTTGTTAGATATTTCCCAATTAAATGTAAAAATTTTTTAAAATAATCATTTAAAAAAAATTGAGTTCCAAATTTTCTCTCTTCTTCCTATCCCTCTCTACTCCTTAAGGGCAAGGAATTTGATTTCAATTATACAAATCATGCAAAACATTTCCATATTAGCTGCCTTATCTTTTTAATCAAAGTAGAAAATCTCTTGAATATGAAATTTAAGAGCTATGAAATTTTACTTTGTATGAAGTGAACCTGACAGCTATTTCAATGCCTCGACTCAATTCCCTGCAGAAGTGAACCAAAAAGAGACAGTCAAAAATTGATTTAAAGAGTGCAAATTGGCTTTAGAGTACACAACTTATTTGGCAACCTGAACTATCTGCGATAGTCAAAGAACCAGAAAGACAAAATAGGTCTCTGATAAATTGAAATAGGTGTCACAAAATCTAAGCACTTAACTAAAAGAAGACCCTCAGGTGCTGACTCAGAGCCTGCTTATTTTTAAACTTATAAATACTAATCTGGCAAGCTTGACTATGTCATTGGCAAATTTATGGCAGACTAGAAGCAGTGAGGGCAACAGGAAGCAGACTGTTATAAACAGGCACTTAAAAAAGGAGGATGAAGTAATAATTCAAGGGATGATACAGAAAAACTTAAAAGGAATGTGACCTGTAAAAATTAAAGCAGTTTGGGTAATTTAGTATACAGGCAAGGAACTCTCCATATATCCTCATGGCTCCTGAAGGTACCACTGTATTATAGCAGATTACAATAAAATTCATATTAATAATAACCCTAAGTCCTCAAGAAAAGTTTAAAGCAGGAAAGTATGTAATTCACTTTAGAAATATTTCCATAAAAAAGGTTTGATATTTGCTTTTAATATTTTAAAACAATATAAAAAAGATTTACTTATATGAAATGGCCCATTTTAAACAATGCCAGATAAAGTATTATTATGTTATAGGAATGTAGTTTCTGAGGAAGGAATTTGGAGATGGAGGCGCATAAGGAATCAGAAATCTCCTCTACATCATCTCTAGGAAGAGGTCATCTAGCTTCTATTGAAGACTTCCAGAAAAGGGAAACTGACTTCTGAGGCAGCTCATTCTACTTTTAGACATCTTTCATTCATTACTGGTAAATTTGTCCTTCTATCAAGCCTAAATCTATAGCTCCCACCCATTTTTTCCTAATTCTGTCCTCTAGGGCTAAGTAGTATAAACCTAATCCCTCTTCCACATGACAACCCTTCAAATATTTGAAGACAGCAATGATCTCCCCATCAAAGCTTCTCTTTTTCAGACTATACATCTCTACCTTCTTCAACTGATCCCAATATGGCACAGGATGGTTTCCAGTCCCTCACTATCTTGGCTAGTCTCTTCTGAAAACACTTTAATTTGTCAAAGTTCTTCTTAAAATAATAATAATAATGATGATAGCTAACAATTATATAACACTTACTATGTGGGAGGCACTGTGCTAAGTACCTTATAATTATTATCTCTTTTGATCCAAATCACAACCTGGGAGGTAGGTGCTGTTATTAGCCCCATTTTACAGATGGGAAAACTGAGGCAAACAGAGGTCAAGTGACTTGCCCAGGGTCACACAGGTGGTAAATTCCTGAGGATCGATTTGAACTCAGGTGTTCTTGACTCCAGGCCCAGCACTCTATCAACTGCACCACCAAGCTACCTTGAAATGTTCCTAGTCAGAATTGAAAACAATAAATATTCCATAGCTGATTCCACCAGGGCAGAGTTTAGTCACCTCCTTGATTAGAGAAAATATGTTTCTACGGGTAAAGCCTAATCTTAGCTTTTTTGTGCTGGCACGTCAAAATGTTAATTCTTATTGAACTTAGACTCCATTAAATTTTCCCAGGCCCATAAGAGGGCTTCTGGACTGTAGAGATCTCTTTGAAGGTTATGATTTATTTTGGAACAGTGATAAGGAAAGTGGTATGCAGAATTATGAGGTATTACACATTGAATGGAATTCATAAGGCACAGAATACCATGATTCAATAAATGAGCTAGCATTTTAACTTTTTGAAGCTAAGGAGTACTAGATTCTCATACCCTTTAGCTTTCTCAAGCATTTAGGTATATATAACAATTTACTAGATTCCCCCCAAAACCAAGTCACCACCACTGAAATTGACTAGAACCTTCCAAGAAGACTGGCTACTCACACTGTGTAATTAATTGATCTATGGGTGTCAATAAAACTACTTCGTCTTCTATCTGGTCTCCTAGTTCACTGGTTCTCAACTTCTACAATTAGAGATCCCTTCTTTCCTGTTAAAGTGACTTTGCTGCCTATGAAGGTGAAATAGGCCTGAAATTTATAAGTCACTTAAGCTTTAGTGAGAACAAAGTACTTAGATTCTTTCCAGCCAAATAGGAAGATGAACAAAGGAAGAAGGCTCTGTTTATGCAACACTTTATTTTCCTCATAACGACCTAATGAAGGAGGTAGTACAGGTGGTATTAGCCCAATTTCACTGACAAAGAAACTGAGGCCCAAGGAGGTGAAATGACTTACCAGAAAGAAATGCAATGAAAAACTGTGAAGTAAAAACATTATTCTGAGTAGGCCTCATGCACAGTTCAAGTTTAACTTTACCATTTCATTAAATTGTTCAATAACACAGGTCTATCTTCCTACCATTTTCCAAATATTCAAATCAACAATAGCAACCAAGAGAATAATTTCAATTTCCCAAAGACCTTTCTATAGCTCTTGTTCATTTTACAGGGCCAATGGGGACTCCTCCCCACATATTTGTAACCAAGTCTATGCATTTGTAGAAGCTACAAAACCTACATGCTACACTGGGATAAATGTACAACGATAAAAGTGGTTCCTTTTCAAATTCTATTTTGATGTTGTTTTTATTGGTGCCACTGAGGCACAAATCTATATTTAGAAATTTAGAAAAGTAAAATATTTTACATAAAGTCACATCCTCCATAGTCAATGTATATGATCTCTCTACTGGATCCAGTGTCCTAGACAGCAGAATGTGTTGAATGTCATAGCAACAGAGATCAGAATGTAAAACTAGAATACTCTTAGAATTTGTGACATCACAATTTTGAGCTATTTGGCATTTTTATGATTTTCATTTGCCCTAAAAGCCAAAGCAGCATTTTTGACAGAGCTAAATACTATGTTCTTATAAATTTGTTTCCATATAATGTACTATAATATCTCAGGACTCTTGAATCAATCAACAAGCATTAGGTGCCTGCTATGTGCCAGGTACTGTGCTAGGTTTTCCCAATATCAGTTTAAGCCCCTAAAGAGGGAGAGAGGAGAAGTAATGCTGTTTTCTGAAAAATAAAAATACCCCACAGATATGAAGTTTAATGGGTAATTTACTGAGCTACAAATTATAGTAGTGGATAAAGCTCTATTGAGGTAGACTAAACCAGAACTCAAACTCATTTGGATCAAAGAATTTAGAAGGTAGGTGAATTTTCCATCTTTTTAGGGATTTGTGGCTTAATGAAGGCAAGGCAAAAAATGTTCATGTGCTAAAAGTCAATGAGGTAAATTAGATTTTATGTGTAAATGAACATAGTACTTTGAATATACCCAAGAGGACTCCCTTCCCACCTTAGCTTGCTGGGGTTTCTTTTCCTGCCTGTAAATGATGACTTTCTCTCTTTTCAGAAGAAAAATGTGGTGAATTGAGGATTCCTGACTTCTTCAAGGAAGCTGGAGTAGAGTCACCATCAGAGGTTCATTCAATAAACATAAAGATAAAAACAAGACACAGTTCCTTCCCTCAGAGACCTAGAAATCAAGTGGGGGAGATGAGACTCCTACATAAATAAGTATAGACTAAGTAGAATGTGAGGGGTATACAGGAGAAGGACAAGAAAAATACTATGTCAGATTCACATGGGTAGAGGTCCTTCTTGGCTGGAGAGATGTGACAGATATCAGGCGAGGCCCTTCACATGTGCCTATCCTCACCAATGAAACGAAAGAATTTTTAAAAGTAGGGATAGGAGAAGAGAGCAACAGGTCAGACAACCTCACACACACACAGCTACTTGGCTATAAGAAGGTAGCCATGCCTTGGAGGGCTTTGAACACAAGGGAAAGGAGTTTGTATTATACTAGGCAGACAGTAAGAAGGTAGGTAAGGCTCTGTCATTTCTGTATTGTTCATTAGAAAGATTACCTTGGCAGCATTATAAATATGAAAGTGAGGAAGTGGGGAAGAACTATTGGAAGAAAAAAGACTCTTGATATTGATCAAGCAAAAGGTAATTAAGGCCTGAATTATAGAAGTAACAGTGGGAAGAAGGGGACAGATAACAATATTGCTGAGTTAGAATGGAATCAACATATTCCCCTGCACCTCTTTTTCACACATGCCTGCTTTTCTCCCTCCTGTTTTAAAAAGGGCAACAGTTTCTCCTGGATGAATGGTAGGAGTAAAGCTCCTCCAGTGGTATACTGTAACTATACCAAATACAATACCTATTGCAAGCACAAGATGCCATGATAAAAGTATCAGGTGCTACAGTAACTTAACAGTTGGCATTTGTTGAATCTTAGAATGAACAAATTAAGCTGGCCTTCCTTCACGATTCCTATAAAAGTCATTAAAGGTTCAGATGATATTAACTCTGACCTACCTGAAGATCTGAAGAAACTGAATTGTCTGGATCACTGTCTCCTGGCAAAGCTGGAGCTGAAGCTTTCTCTTCGTCTGAGGACATCCTACACAAAACTGTAAACGAGTATATGTCAACCTTAGTTTCCTCTGTGTTTAAATAAAACATTTTCAAGTAAGTAGTAAAATTCTACATAATAATATTTATGGTCTGTTACACAGAGAGACTACCACATATAAAAAATGAAATTTTGTCAATACTAAACAAGATTGTAATTTTGTCAGTGTGGGTACTCCTTCCAGTGACACAGATCACACGCCCTCTCAAACTTAGTAAACAATTCTGAAGAGATACAGAGGTTTACTACCGAGTAATCAACCTAGTGACCTTTTGTAAAAGGTGAGGAGGGTCCTTAAATGACAGATATGGAGTTTAACATTAGGCTTATATTTGAAACTTTTCCAGCTCAGCAAGACTATTTATAGAATTAACCTGGCATAATCTTGATAATATCCATACTACAATGAGGCACCAAAGTAAGGACAGTATCAATAATAATATGATAAATAAGAAAGAAAAATTCAACACAAGAGATGACACAAGGCAATATGTAGTTAATATATAGTTAAAAGCATAGTAAAGGAACTAAGTATTCCAGTGCAGTTGAAATGGGGAGAGAGAATCTATGGGCTTTAGATGCACGACAAAGTAGAATTTAAATTGGGTCTTGGGGGATAGGTATCATCACCATCTCATCAGGAAGATCTACAGTATGTTACTTAGGATATAGACAGAGATTTCTGATTTTGTCCATTTTAATTAAGTATTCAAACAAAGAAGCCCTGAAGTAGCTAGTTCAACAAAAGTCAAAGCAGACTATCATGCCTTCTAAAATGAAAATTCAATTCATAACAGATGGCATTCATCACTAATGGTAGAAAGGAAGAGAAATTCCACATTGATACCAATCAGCAAAATTTTATACTTTACCATCAGAATAAGTAGGAGGTAGGTAGCTCCTTAAATAACCTAATTGGAACATGATTCTTTAAGGCCATTTTTTCTTATGTTGTTTTAGATCTGGGTTGGAATTTTGTAGACTCAGGTTAATATCAGAACAAGCTCCTAGAGGAAGTGAGATATCTTGTATCTTTGATGAAAAAGATGATCTTTTTCTTTAAAGGCAGTGACATATGTGATTGTTATATAGTAACTATGCAATCCTTTATTAAGCACCTATTGTATGCCAGGCACTGTGGTAAGTGATGGAGATACAAAAAAGAGGCAAAAGACAGTCCCTGCTCTAAAGGAGCTTACCATCTAATATGGAAGACAACAAGCAAACAAATATATACAAAGCAAGCTATACACAAGATAAATAAGAAATAATTAACAAAGGGAAGGCACTAGAATTAATAAGGTTTGGGAAAGCAAAAGCTGGCATTTTAGTAGGTACTTAAAGGAAGCCATTTCTGGCTTCCAGTAGGCAGTACAGAGGAAGGGGAACATTCCAGGCATGGGGGACAACCAGAGAAAATGCTAACAGTTAAGATATGGTCTCTTATTTGTGGAACATTCAGGAGGCCAGTATCACTGGATCAAAGAGTATGTGTCAAAGAGTAAGGTGTAAGAGAAGTAGAAAGGCAGGAGGGTGCTAGGTTATGAAGAACTTTGAATGCCAAACAGAGCATTTTGTGTTTGCTCCTGGAGACAACAGGAAGCCAATGGAGTTTATAGAGTAAGGGGTGACATGATTGGACCTGAGCTTTATGAAAATCACCTTAGTGGCTGACTGGAGTAAGGAGAGGTTTGAGGCAGGTAGACCCAGCAGCAGGTTATTGCAAGGCTTCAGGCATGAGGTGATGAGGGCTTGCACTAGAGTGGCAGTAGTGTCAAAGGAGAGAGAGGGACATATATACATATAAGCAATGTTGTAAAGGTGGAAATGACAGGCCTTTGCAACAGATTGGTTATAGGGGCAGGAAGAGATAGTGAGGAATCCAGGATGTCTCTGAGGTTGGGAGCCTGAGGGACTGGGAGGATGGTGTTGTCCTTTATATTAACAGGGAAGGTAGGAGGTAGGCAGAGTTCAGGGGGAAAGATAATGAGTTCCATTTGGGGCACATTGAGTTTAAGATGTCTACTAGACATCCAGTTCATGGAATTTTAAAGGCATTTGGAGATGACAGGTTGCAGGTCAAGAGTTTGGGGCAAGATAGGGAGATTTAAGAATTATCACAATAGAGGTAGTAATTAAATCCATGGGAGCTGATGAGATCCCTAAGTGAAGAAATACAGAGAGAGAAGAGGACCCAGGACAGAACCCTGATGGACATCTATGGTTAGAGGGCATGATCTGGAAAAGGATCCAGCAGAGAAGACAGAGAAGCAGCGGTCAGATAGGGACGATGAGAACCAGGAGAAGGTAAATATCCCCAAAACCTAGAAGACAGGATCAAGGAGGAGAGAGTGAGCAACAGTGACATAGGTCACAGAGAGGTCAAATAGAATGAGTATTGAGAAAAGGCCATTGGATTTGGCAACTGAGAGATCACTGGTAATTTTGGAGAAAGCAGTTTCAGTGGAATGATAGTAAGTGAACTAGCAGTGCTATTCAAACAGTGGTAAATTCTAGAGCTTCTAGTTGTGCTATGCTAAGGACACATTTTGTTCCAGACATGATTTTGCCATTTATCTGGCTGGTCATACAAATTCAGACTCTCAAAAACAGAATGGGGGTTAAGAAAAGGCAAAGGATACAGTCCTTCAACTTGAAGTTTAATCATAAGTGTTTCAGTCTCAAAACAGAGTTGTGGAAAATCAATGAGCTTTCAGTGAATCCAAAAGTCAGTATAAGAAACTTCAACTAAGGATGATGGGAATTGTTTCAAACAGTTTAACTGTATTATTATACATGTTCTTATGTCCTTTAAGAATGATGAACAAACACCTTTCATGTCTTCTACTACTGTGTTGGGAAAAGGTAAGAACCATTTTTCATAGGAACTTTGGGGGTATAAGAACACCAAATATATAAGATTAGTCTGGCAGTAGAGTGTGCATCATTACATATCTTAGTCTTGTCTTGTAAAACGGGAAAGTAATTTGTCATAGCCGTTCCTTTGAGTCACCTTAAATTATCATAGGAGGCACATATGAGAACTCTTCTGTTCTCAGTCCCCCTAGAAAAAAAAGAAAGGAAAGAAAGATGGGATCTGACTTTGTCTAGTGGAAGCCTTTCCCCTTTTTCTGAGGACAATGACTACTTCACACATTCATTCTACATGTTCAAGATCTCAGTGATTGTTTGTAGATGACTGTAATGTAATCTTTTTGTGCCCTAAGAAACAATGAAAAGATTTCAGAGAAACCTGGCAAGGACTTGTGTGAACTGATACAGATTGAAGTGAGTAGGACCAGGAGAATAATTTATATAATTACAACAATGTAAATAAAAGCAACTTTGAAAGGTTTAAGAATTCTGATCAATGCAATAACCAACCATGCTACTCATTTCTTGCACCTTGAAGGATGGGGTCAAGGTGCAAAATGATAGATTTTTGGACATAGTCAAGGTGGGAATTTGTTTTGCTTGATTATGTATTCGTTACAATGGTTTTCTTTTTCTTTTCTTCATCTTTTTTTTTAAACCTATTACTAGTCCCTTCTCCCTCCTACTGCCTATTTAAAAAAAAAAATCTTTAAAAGGACAGAAGAAAAAAAAAGAAGGCAATACAGACTAGCAAGACGGCTTTTAAAGTTACATACTGACTTATGTTAAATTTCCTTAAAAGAAAAAGAAAGGAGTAATAAAGATTTATAGTTTCAGGTACAATCCTCTTTTCTTATGCTAAGTTGCATATGGAAGTGTTCATTTTATTTGGTGTTTGCTAAGTTCAGAATAAATAATAATTTTAAAAAAATACAAAAAAAATTGATGTCCCAGTGTTTGGGGTGAGAGGACAGGGAAGGAAGTCTTCTGTTTGAAATTATCATGTATCTATCTTCTGAGGCTTGTTATTTTTTCTGTTTGGAGATGACTCTTCCCTCCAGCTTTAAAGTCAGGAAATTTAAAGATTACAGCAACAGATTTTTTTTTCACAGATTCTTCTTGTGTTTCTGATTACTATGTATCCTGTTTTAGAAACTAAGTAGATTTCATACTCATTTTCACCTGGCATAGTTTTATCTCAAAAAAAAAAAAAAGTCTAACAACCATAATTTTCAACAAGTCTCTGATCCCTTCCATTAGAAAACACATCAAAGCTCATTTGGCCCACTGTCAAATTTCTTTACAAAGTAGTTTTTAGGGGGCATCTAGGTGATGCACTGGAGATCTCTGGCCTTGGAGTCAGGAGGACCTGAGTTCAAATCCATCCTCAGACACTAGACACTTACTAGCTGCGTGACCCTGGGCAAGTCACTTAACCCCAACTGCCTCACTAAAAAAAAAAAAAAGTAGTTTTTAGTTGATATGTCTTCATTTCCACTCTACCTACTCATACAGTCAAAATGATAAAAGGGACCTCAGTAGCTATCTAGTTCAACCCATATCTGAAGGAAATTCCTTTATAACATACCTGACAGGTGATCATTCAGTCTTCCCAGAGAACTCCACTAAGGTGGTATCAGTGAAAATGAAAAAGAGAACCCAGAAGCAAGAGACACAGGAGACTTAAAGTAGATTGGATTTGGGAGTGGCATTAGGTAGAGAGGAGCGCAGCCCATTCCACTTTTGGACAGTTCTAATTGTTAAGGAAGTTTTTCCTGACAAACCTAAATTCGCCTCTGTTCAACTTCCCATATATTGCTCCTCGTTCTTCCCTTTGGGGCCAAACAGAGTAAATCTAATCCCTCTTTTACATGAGGATCCTCTGAATATATAAAGACAGCTGTCATTTCTTTCCTGAGTCTTTTTTAGCTTTAAAGTGCTCAATTCATTCAATCAAATCTCTTTTTTTTCCACTGAATATAACTTTAATGATGGTACACAACATAGGATTCTATGCTTTTTCCCCTACCGCGGGGGGCATTGGGACGAGGAATGCGAATAGGGCATGAGATCCCTAGTACAGGAAAATAGGTTAGGGATGTGGGTTCCCTGGTGGTGGAACTC